CCATGTACAAAATCAATCAAACAGGGGCGGCAACATTTCAATTTTGCCTTGTTGGGCGTTCTTTAAAGTGTCATTTTTATCTATTTTAAAGTTTATGATTATATTAAGGGAATCTTTGAATTTTTTTATGACCATGTGAGATTTGCTTTTAACACAAGTATGACAAAATAAGGAAAATAAGTTTTAACCAGTGAAATACATAACCGTTTTGTCTTGTTAATTTAATCTACTGTTAAAATATGCTCTGAATGTACGATAAATCTGTAAAGTATACAAACAATTTGGTTTATTGTCTGCTATATTCGTATTGCGGTAGAAAAAAGGATTATAATGAATTCTTTTTCGTGCAGCTAATTGCAATTTTATAGTCTACTTAGATATTTCATGTATTTCCTTCTCTTAACTTATTTTTTACCAGCAGCTGAATAAACCTCCCAGTACTTCTATAATTGATTCACTAAATGAGCGTATCTAATCAATAGTTTTAATGGCTCTAATCACATTGTATTCGGATATATAACATAAAGGTAAACAATTATGCGTTTAGCAGTGATAATATTTCTACCTGTACCTTTATTTCCAGTCCTCTTGTAAAGTAATTTACCAGGTAATGAAATATTAACCCGCTTTAATCAACGTAATAGAAATATGCCTTCTGTGGATATTCCTGGTTATTAAAAGCACGTAAACGAACGGCGTTTAGTACTGATTTTAATTGCATCTCGTACTTTGATGACTTTGTTTCACGGAACAATTAAGAAACATTGGTTTCTTTTTTGGCGTTTAAATATATTTGTCATCATTTTGTATATCAGATGAATTTAGCATCAGAAGGGAAATAGATTTTAGCTGAACTGTTTGATTTTTGATAAATGATGGTCACTTAGAAAACACATGGATTAACGCTTGTATCCAAATGTGGTAGTAAAAAAACGGATCTAACGCCAATCACATACATAAACGATCATATTAACTTTATTTGTCTCATGAAATAATCTAAAGTGATAAAAAATGCACTCAGCTGGGTACCGTTTTGCTGGAAGTCGACGTGGACCAAAATTAAGGGTAACATTTCTATAACTATCTAATACATAGACAATTATGGCAAACATATTTAACAAAAAGGGTATCGTAATTTAATTCAAGCGTATGTAAATAATAGGATAGTATTGAACAGTATCAATGTAATGTTATATGATATAGTTGAATAAACGGTACAGGATATATGTGTATTTGTCTTCTCATCGTTTAGTATATTATCGAACAATGTAATATATGTTTTTACAAATAAATCAAATATAATGTTTGTTTTCATCATCAAGCAGTGAACAGCTTGACTGTATATCGTAGTTTACGTGCAATATCACTCTTAATGATTCACTTTTGGACATAATGACAGAATAACGGAACACTGTCTGTTGCTGAACTTTCTGTATTTGCATTAATACATGTACATGTATTTAAAATTCAAAGCTGCAAATGTCCATAAAATAAAACTTGCGGAAAAGAGCGGGATGTTTTATGTAAATTGGATATCTGAGTTTATGATTTATTTAAATTAAAGCTTATAATGCTAAGATACACGAGCATGTTATGATGTCATGTAGTTAAATGTATTTGAGCCGCGCCATGACAAAGCCAACAAAATGTGTTTGCGACCAGCATGAATCCAGACCAGCCTGCGCAGTCTGATCAGGATCCATGCTGTTAGCTTACCAACCCTTTTACAAGTAGAGAAATTGATAGCGAACAGCGTGGATCCTGATCAGACTGCGCAGGCTGGTCTGGATCCATGCTGGTCGCAAACCCATTATGTTGGTTTTGTCATGACGCGGCTCAAATATATGATCGTGCATTTCAAAAAATAATTTATTAAGTAGCCCAAGAGACTTGAGTTATGGGATATGGTTAATAAAACACGTAGAAAATATATTATTTATACTTTATCTAATGGCTTTGTTATGTTTAATTAACTAGAGAAGTCTGTCCAGTCATTTAAGCGTAAAATTGGATGTACATGTATAAATGTGTCGCATCGTGTCGAAAGGTTAAAAGTAACTTCCCTATAAAGGTTAGAATGGTAGAAATTGACTTTCAAAATAAATTTCATTAAAATACAATTAACACGTGTAATACGAAAGTAAAACATAAATAAAAAATATGTGAACAATACTTGTCAATCTCTCTATATATATAGTTTAACTTCCGGTAAATCTTGAACTAACGCTCATAGAGAACACTGCGTGTATATATACTTATTGTTTCCCTCAATATAGTTCTGTTCTGTTCTGTTCATTGTTTGAAAATAAAAAAATGAACTTTCTTATATATAATTAAATGTTTCAAACCGGTGTAAACAATTTTAAATGACAGATTTCTTAAAGCCGATTATTATAATTATGAAAGACATTTATTTATAAGTTCGAATGTTCTTAAAGCTATTCCGATAAATCTTAGAAATAAACACTCTACTTCGGTAACAACGCTAATATGGGATGCAGTAATTGAATATCGACATACATTTAACAAATATATTTCGCTGATACGGCAGTTTTTGATTTTCTCTATGAATACCATTTGCAATCGTCTGATAGTCAAAGTAATGAGCCGCGTCATGACAAAACCAACATAATGGGTTTGCGACCAGCATGGATCCAGACCAGCCTGCGCATCCGCGCAGTCTGATCAGGATCCATGCTGTTCGCTATCAGTTTCTTTACTTGATATAGGGTTTGTAAGCGAACAGCATGGATCCTGATCAGACTGCGCGGATGCGCAGGCTGGTCTGGATCCATGCTGGTCGCAAAAGCATTATGTTGGTTTTGTCGTGACGCGGCTCAAATGTTTCTTAAACGGCAGCTCCGCTTTCTTGTTGGCAAAGTAATTGAAGAAGAAATAATTGCCCCATGTTTAAGAGTAAGAATGACGTCTAATGTCAACATTAATTTTCTCTGGATGAAACGTTTCTACTGTATGAGGTGTTTTCACTACATTTACAGTACAGACAAGTATGGCTGACTGAATGTCTATTAAAGAAACCAAGCTCAAATCTATAGCTGTCTAGTGTTGTATGTACAGTGCACATATTGTAAAATTTAGTAAATCTTTATTGAACGGAGTGTATTCCAGTAATTATTTACATTGATTTTTTTAAAGTTGAAATGTTTAAAAAAAATCTCGTACAAAATATGATTAACTTATATCAATTTCAGAACTTATATTATTTGGAGAAAAAAAAGTTTAATAATATATTCTTTACAGAAAATAAAACATGATGTTATCCAATTGATACGCAGAGAAACTTATAATGTCTAGTGATTAAATTCTAAATAGTGAAATTTACAGAGCTTGCAAAAAGATGCATATAAGTGCATATCATTTTATTATTTGTCTAGTTTTACAATACTTTTGTTTTTGCTCTTTGATTCACATAAACAATGAGTCATTATATACAAAATTATATACACTTTATTAAGGTTTATTGAAGAGAAGTTCTTGATATTGTGTTTACCATAAGTTCTCATATCATGAATACAGTTCTTATGTTCAATTGAAATAACTTATTTCTTGTCAAATATGGACATTATTGTTGTTTAAAATTTAGCTTGAAATGTTCTTAATGAAAGGTTTTTCGAAATGAACGCTTATAATGTAAGGAGTGGAAAGTAAATCTACTTTGCCAGATCTATTTCTCCATGTGTTATAATGTAAAACTAGAATAGTTTGTTAATTATAGAACACTTTCTGGTCACAGATGTTACACTACTTCACGGTAATAGCTGTATTTTCTTTGAATACTAGTAACCGGAATCCTCTCAATGGCTAATATCGATGATTTCATTAGATCAATAGCGCTGACCATGATAATTCAATATTCTGTCGGCTTTTCAAGACCATTTGTAAACAAAGTGGATGACAATATAAACTGATTTCTAACACTTGTAATCAATGTAAAATCCAATGTCAGACGCGTATAGATTGACCATTTATCATACAATAACAAACCATTAAAGGGGGCGTTTCAATATTCAAAATTCTTAAAATAATAATGAATATTTGATGGTACGCTATTGTCCGAGTTATAATTGTGTCATATCTAGAAAATCTGCTGTGTTATTGTGAACAATTTTGTTTGCTTTAAATACATTAAGTGTTTAATGATGAATCTCGTTTAATATGATATAAAAATAACGTATTCGACGACAATTGCTAACATTATTTTGCTTTCTATATATATTTTTTTACATCATATGACATATGTTGGTCATGGAAAATGTGAAAATGAGAAAGTTTATTTGTCGAAATTGTGTTTATGTTTTATCTAAAGAAGTCATTAGAAATACGACAAAAGTATTAACTATAGTATTATTTATATTATTCAGCTATATTTCACCATTGACTTTCTGGGCTTTATTTCGTCGTGTTGAGAATATCCCTTAAAGCCTTGGTTAGCCAACAGTTAATGTAATCATAATGCTTCTAAATCCCCGTGTCCGTCAAAATTGACAAGGCAAATGGACTGTTACAGATGTGCAGATTCATTGTACGAAAACTTGATCTATTTATTAGCCCCTGATTCATAATAACAAAGATATTGTTAAAGGAAAATCTATAATTTTCTCGGTTGTCCATTATGTTTCCCTGTTTTCTTCAGTAAACTACAAATGATCATGAGAAATCATATTTGTTCACACTAAACAAATCTTGTTTGGTGGGATTTCTATTATGTTGATATATTTTCAATAAAAATGGATTCAGGATATGTTTCTGATTATCTTTTTATATTGCTAGACATGATTTGATATAAAAATGGAAATTAAATCATGCTGGGATATTATTTAACCTAATATCACTTTACCTAATAAAATGTGATGATATGCTGATGAAATAGGTTTTTATGATAAAAGAATAATTGTCAGTGTGTAGATTTAATGTGTTAATAATTTTACTCCTGTGTGCAAAACAAGAAAGCCTAAAATCTAGTTCAAAATTATATTAATGATAATCAGAAAAATATAAATAAATGATGGAATTTGTTTCAAGCGGGGCGACATCCTCAAATTATGTGAGAGAGTCGGGGCCACGATATGTGATAGATAAGCACGGGAAACGGAGACAATCGTCTACATTTAAGGTAGTTAAAATCACGTGATAAATCAGACAACTGTAATTGTAAAATGCTTACATAATAACCAAGGCGGCGTAGTTTTGAATTTTTACAATCAGCTATAATGGTAAAAATTAATTGATTGATTTGTAAAAAAATAAAGTTGTTTTTTTAATTTTGTATGGCTCATTTATTTCTGCGAGACAGTATGATGTACGAATATCTTAAAATTTTGAGAATTGAACATTGTGTTTATTTTAACAAGAAATTGTTGTGAAAATATCAGGGTGCTTTATTTTGATGTAGTTTTCCAGTAATTTCATCATTAATGTGAAAATTTCTAGTGTCATTATTTGTTATGTCATGGATGAACGATATATTTCTGAAAACAAATAAATTTTAACAAATGAATTAAGATAAATCATTCTTGCGTGCATGTTAAATACTGATACTGATATTAAATATTGAACAGAGATGCTGTAAATATGAATGGGATTTGTATACAAAAATTCAGTTTATTAAATATGGATATATTTAATTTACAAAGAAAAAAAACTTTGATAGAAAGATTTTTTTATGATTCTGCCGTTGTAAATAAATAAGCACTTATAATTCGTTATCTTAAGACCCATTTTATAATCACCTAGGTATAAACAGATATATTCAGCTGCTGCATATTGCCATGTTTTATTTTAGCAGATATATGTACATGTATATGTCATTGACATATATGAAAATATCATTTGCAAACCTTATGTTTTAAGCAGTAAGTTTCTTAGAAGACATCGTGCATTGTTGACATCAATTGTTGTGGGTGAATATATCGTTCTATCACCCTCCGTGTAATGTGCTATTTTTATTATAATTTTAATAAACGTATATAGCGTCATAGCAAGGATGGACAGAAAACCGGTACTCCGTATGCGCTTGAGGTCCGTTTAGTATTGCCAGTGGGTCGGAACATAATGTTACTATGTGACTACGAACGGTTACATTCTGGTGGCACATTGGGTTTTACGGTAAATTAATGACGTAAGGTATAATTATGCATTTACGGTTTTAACTTTTTCTGTCTTCAGGAGTTGGTGGGCAGCACAACAGAACAACGTAACTGGCGTGGTATCCTCATAGCTCTGTTGGTAATTGTGACAGTGTTCGGACTTATTATAGCCGCCATTGTTCTTATCACTCCAAGTAAGTTAACTTTTCTGGTAGTGTTTCTATCCAACTACGATAAAAAGAAAGTACTATAGGAAAGAACAGTTCTTAGCGTTTAGTACGTTTTCTTCCTTTTCCTTGCCAAGGTACAATAATATGCCTACAAATACCAGGGTCATTTGTTTGAGTGTCATATGCTAAAATATTAGCTGTGGTATTTATGTTATAAGGTATGTATTCAATAGAATATACATTCTTCGCATACAACTGAATATAGATTGAACTTGATATTACAAGTTTAGCTTAATAATTACAGCGTTGAATGTGCATAACAAATGATCAATTGGAATTTAGTTACGAGAAAACAATACAGTTTTTCGTACTTCTTTAAAAATTTCTAAAGGTAAAAAATTATTCATTCTAATATGACTGTTTTAAATAATGTATATATGTGCTCTGAGAACACAACGTTCAATATACATGTACTACATAGATTGTTAAACACGCCTTACTTTTTTCACAAAATTTCTATGTAAAATTATTGTTTCTTACAGCATTAAGGTCATAATCATTTAATTTAAATAATTACGTGAGTCTTCATTGGTTAGACCAATTTATTTTGATATGACACTGTGTGAGAAAAGTGTGCAACCTAGTGGGATCTCCAATTGCAACTGTACCGAATGGGCTACCCGGTTCCTTAAATATCCGTTTATATTCATAATTCATGAGATACTTTGCGTGTCTTTGCAAGCATATTATTAACTTTAAAAGTTTATCACATATTTCTACCCTGAACCTAATGAAGTTAGACATTTTTTTGTATACTTTGACATCATCGATAAATAACTGGTAAGTGTCTGAGGATGACAATAGTTCTAATAAGAATATCTTTTGAATTTTATGAAATTTAACACGACTTTGGCGGTGTGCTGCATGTATGCCATATTTATCTTATAAAAGAAAGGTGCTTACTTTGTGAAAGAATCTTGTTTTATCCCATGTATTTCAGAGGAACTTGATGAAAATTTTGGAGAGAAATTAACTTTTAAAGAGCTTGTTCAACATAAATTTGACCCGTTGCCTTTCCAGAAATCGTGGACTTCAGGTTTGTATCTGTAAATATTAAATCACATCGATAAATGTGTTTGATTTGATAAAATTGATTGACTGATTGATTGATTTACTTAAACGCTAGGGGTTCATATTAAATGCGCCGTGTTGTACAATAATATATGCAATCAAACTACACACACACACACAACAGTATAATATAGTACAAACAGTATTGCTATAATAAGGTCACCCGCTTTCCATGAATTGAGCGTCCATTCAAAATTACATATATAAACAATGAGTGACTAATCAGTACCGCAAAATATATATCTGATATAAATCTTGATCTCATTTGTTAAAAGGCAAAATTTTCTTCAAAAATTTGCATTAGAGTCATTTATAATTGTTGATAGGAGCTCCACTAAGGTCAGGTCAAAAAGCCTTAAAACAAGATTTGAACAGCTTACCTAAATCAACTCCGGCACTAAAAACGGAAAAATATGAAAAAAGATGTTATAGAAATATACTCAGAATTAAATTAAAAATTGATATTAATATGATTCTAAGCCCTATTTAAGTTGAAAGCGTTTAAACGGTGGTCAATTTGCACAATAAAAATGATTATTTTAAGAGAACGGAGAGAGCTGAATTTTGTATGTACAAGTTATTGGACAGGTATAGATCTAAAAATCTCGAGAAAGTATGTCCAGTCCTGAAAACAACAGTGGAGTCCTTTAAATTTTCGATCTAATTTCTTTTACAGCTTCATCATCGGATGTTTCTCATTTACATTAACTTCTAATAGCTCTGTCAACTATTCCATTGATTTCATGAAATTTACTAAAAGTTTATACCTTAAGATACTAAAATACGTATAAAGTATCAAAGTTATGCATATTACTTAGAACTGCTAGTTTGTGACGTCCATTTCCATTCGATAATCATGACGTTTATATAAACTATAAACACGGCTCTGTCAATTTATGAAGTATTTTCATTTTTATCTCCAATAAAGGAAGTTTACTGTATTATAATGTCGTTATATATGTTTGTTTGGTTTAAAGGCGCATCGACACAATTTAGATAAATTCGTTATAAACATTCTTGACAGATTGTATGACCATATACACGTATAAACGGTTGTTTGCAATATAACCTCCACCATGCGGCTCGGGTTATATATATGCAAAGAACAAACACCGTTTATTTATGGTCATATAACCTGTCTTAAATCTTTGCAAAACACAACCTGTAGAAAATCTTAAACTAATAATATAGGAAAGTTTGGATGGCTATATTCTCTGGCGGCATTTGTTATCAGATACATCATTCTACGTTACTTTGATCAAGTTATGGAAGAAAAACAAATCTACAGTCAATATCAGTTTATTTTCCATTTGTATAAATTGATCAATATAAATCCTTTAATGTTAAGTTGTTCAATGTGTGTAACTTTTTTTGCCAGAAATGGAAATGAATAATATTCAATGTATATATAAGTGATTAATGATAACGTAATATTTTCTGGGTTTATATCTGTCGATTCATGAAATCCTTAATTCTGAAATTACAAAATAACTAAATACTTGAGATGGGCCTTATAGATGAAAAGTTATTTAAAAGTGTAAACTGTCGTAATCTATGAACTACGTCGTGAAACCTTTAGATTTAATTGATGCCGTCATGTCAACAGTCCCGAATGTCCTACTTGTGATACTTTGCAATTTTCAGTTTCTGTTTTTATTTTCTCTTCTTTATATTTGTTTTCATATAATTTAATGTATTTTATCAGGTGAAACTTTGATATATAGACGTACGGATGGAATGGTGGTACAGTTTGACTGCGGGAACAATGAAACGTCAGAAATCATGGACAATTCAACTTTTGTATGTCTTTCTTGATAAACAATGTAATGATATATTTAGGTGATATAAGTAAACTAACTTGCTTTTTGCCGTATACTGTTTCATTTCTTGTCAATAGTAAGTATAGGATATTTTACTTTTAGTATTACTTAAATATTACCATGCTAAATAACTTAAATGGATTTCTCTATTTTGCATTATAGAAAAAAAAAACATTCATCATTTAAAAAAAAACATAATAAATACGTACAGTTTCATAATAAGTACGTACTGTTTCATAATAAGTACGTACTGTTTCATAATAAGAACGTACTGTTTCATAATAAGAACGTACCGTTTCATAATAAGTACGTACTGTTTCATAATAAGAACGTACTGTTTCATAATAAGTACGTACTGTTTCATAATAAGAACGTACTGTTTCATAATAAGAACGTACTGTTTCATAAAAAGTACGTACTGTTTCATAATAAGAACGTACTGTTTCATAATAAGTACGTACTGTTTCATAATAAGTACGTACTGTTACATAATAAGTACGTACTGTTTCATTATAGTACGTACTGTTTCATAATAAGAACGTACTGTTTCATAATAAGAACGTACTGTTTCATAATAATAAGTACGTACTGTTTGATAATAAGAACGTACTGTTTCATAATAAGTACGTACTGTTTCATAATAAGTACGTACTGTTTCATAATAAGAACGTACTGTTTCATAATAAGTACGTACTGTTTCATAATAAGTACGTACTGTTTCATAATAAGTACGTACTGTCACAGAATAAGTACGTACTGTAAAGCGAGCAGTGCAGACCATGATCAGAGTCGGGAGAGATGTGACTCGCTGATCGTGGACTGCACCGGTCACATGGGTAAAATAATCTGCCGCTAACAGGCTAAAGATGAGGCCAAATTTCCAACATTTCAATAACAAGTGTATTAATGTGGGATACTTGTCGAATTACACATACAACATTCATGGTTATAAAACAAGTGTCAGTTTAATTATTGACAGTCTAGACTATGGCGATTGAGAGGTGATACATTTGTAACTACCAATTCTTCCCACTAAAGATATGAATATTTATATAAGATTTTATGTCACTCCGAGAAATGAATATTCCCCGAGACTTATAAAGAATAAAATTGTTATAATAATAAAAGTGTCGGCGTTTTATCCTCTGTCTTTAAAGAGCAAGACGATGCACTGATCAATCAGCCTAGTAGAGGATTTGATTCATATCTATTACAAAATCAATGTTAAAATAATATTGTAATGTAAACCGCGCAGTGGTTTGTGTAAAACATCATTATGTGAAGGTACAGCTTTTACTTAAGAGAACCATACCCACGAGTATTTATAAACTTAGATAGTTTGTCTTTAATTTTCAGTCTACACGGAACTATTCTGTTGTCTCGCGTGAGATTCGATAATAAAATGTTCCTGGTAATTTCTCTTAAGTAGATATTAATTAAGTATAACAAATTTAACTAAATACCAATGGAATTTATTATAGAAAAAATGACCGGCGGAATTCTTATTCAAAAGATTAACAACGGTATTATGTTGTTGTTTTATTTTGTTGTTATGTGAGTTTTGTTTTGATAATGTATTTAACTTGGTAATCACACATAATACGACAAAATTTCTTTACTTCAGAGAGAGTTGGATACAGAAAAATATAAAGTATCACCAGATGGGAAATACGTTCTTCTACCTTATAATATCCAAAATGTAAGTAGCATATATACGAGGTACTGTTAAAAGTAATTTCATACGTGCCATGTAAGTAAATCATATTTTCTACCACGATAGCATGCACTTGTAATGTTAAGCAAACGTTTGTATATGCGACGCTCACTTATTTGCACTAATTATATCAAATTTATCACAAAATGATTTGATAGAGGAATTAACATTTTTCATCAATATTTGATAAAAAAAAATTGTACTCCTTATTATAAAAGCAATATTTAATTCATGTTTTTATTATCTCTTTTTCAGATTTATAGATATACCTATTTAGCAAAATATAGAATATATGACACCGAGAAAAAGTAAGTTTCTGATAGTATGTGACAGTGTTAAAATCTTTCTAATATTAAGTGGAATCCGCTTTCATTACCATATTTCAACGTATCACGTTTAATGGAAGATTATTCATTTCTACAAATAAAACTTGACAATGTGATCAAAACAGTTTAGTGCTCGCTTTTGTTTGCATCTCATTGACGAAACCATATGTTATGGCGTAATTAATTAAATGTTACAAGATACACTCATGCCATCAGACTTAAGAATGTACATTGAATCAGCTTATGGTGATGATATTAATAACCGGTATCTGATTTTATATTCTAGACACAATATGGAAACAAACAAAAATATCGTAGTTGTGTTATATTTTAAATAAGTGTTGCGTTTTTCAAATAGAAGTTTTATCAAAGAACGAAATATCAGCAAAATGTGGTTAATGTTATTATATCACATTTTACAGTCCATTTTTTCTTCAGAACAAATAAATATACATTTAAAGTTTTGGAGGCAGGTCTAAATTATTAGTTCTTACATACAAAAATATATTGTTTTTCAAATCCCTTGTACATATATATTTGAAATATTAAATGTAACAGAGTTATAGAAACCATAACAGTTTGCTGTTATTTCATAGTCTCATATTGCAGCTGGACAATCGTACATGGACATTGATTTGAAAAGTTCAATACAGGCATATATCATTTATAGCCATTTTGCTTGTAAAGTTATGCTAATAAATCATTAACAATATTAAATGCATTAAACATTTTACATGTTTCCAATTTCAGATTCCATATAGACCTTATAGGTCCTATAATTAATGGCAAAGCCGTAGAAAATGATTTCCAGTATGTCGCATGGTCACCCACTGACCATGGTCTTGTAAGTGTCCAAATTGATTTGAGCCGTGCCATGACAAAGCCAACATAGTGGGTTTGCGACCAGCATGGACTCAGACCAGCCTGCGCATCCGCGCAGTCTGATCAGGATCCATGCTGTTCGCTTACCAACACTATTACAAGTAGAGAAACTGATAGCGAACAGCATGGATCCTGATCAGACTGCGCGAATGCGCAGGCTGATCTGGATCCATGCAGGTCGCAAACGCACTATGTTGGTTTTGTCGTGACGCGGCTCATTTGTTTAAGTAATTTTGGGAGATTCCTTGAAAGCAATGAAAAAAAACAAAAGTATATGACAATTGAAAAACTTGATTTCAGTCAGTTCTTGAGATATAACGAAAAAGTGCAACATTCTTCTCGTCCCTTTCACCTGAATACTGTTAAGATTATATTGGAACATATACGTATATACGAGGATAATACAGCATTGGAAAAGTTTTGTTATAAACTAAATTATTTTTATATGTTTCATTGTTATTGAAGTACGTTTGAGTCCACTACCGCTAGCAAATAATGCAACATGTGTCCTCGCCCAAGCAGAGATCTAGCCCGTTAGGCCACTATTACTTTCTGAATTTACAGGCAGCTTAACTATTTTTATAATCAGTTTTCTTTTTATACAAGTTTGATAAGTAACATCATTATGATTCACATGTTATTCCAATAGAACAAACTTATTATTTGTCTCGATGACATTTATGATAATTAACATGAGTTTCAGTTATCATATTTTACAAGTATTCATAGCCAGGCAACATGAGCCGTTTGATAACATTTGTATATATCTGTATTATATCTATAAAGTAATTCAATGAAGAAATTATTACATGATACACAGACATCATCCAATCTCCTCAAATATAAAAATGTCTAGACAATCTCGGAAAGATATCCTATCTAATTTGTCCGAAAATTTCTCCCCGAATACTGCTTCTTCCTTTGATTCAGCTTGATGGGGTTTGTTACACATTCTCCACATGAGATAAATGAAAATAATGTACAAAAATATACCCTTTATGTTGGTTCTATTTGTTAGTGATATTTAACATATAAAAAAGCTAGAAATATTGTTATCTTCAAAAACCCCAAAACCTTATATAGTTTGTCAAAATATTTGTATTTTGCATTTAAAGATCTGGAAAGAATAAATTAAAACGTATGTATTTCTCTGTAAACTCTACTGCATTTTTGTGTTACATTTACCACCACTTTCAGTATGTTTGGTGTTATTTGTCAGCTATAAATATGTATTTGTTGTTCTTGATGTTGTTGATGTTATATTGACAGCGGATTTAATATTAAAATTATTTCCAATTTTTGATTACGTTTTCTTTTGTTTTATTTTCAGATTGTTGTTGCCAATAATAATATTTATTATTTAAAACCATGGAATTCTTTAAAAGAAATAGAGAGTAGCGATTATTCAGAAGTTACAAGCAATGGCTTAAAAGATGTCATTTATAACGGAGTGCCTGATTGGTTGTACGAGGGTAAGCCCTTTATAGTATCAGATGTTATTTATAGCCGAGTGTCTGATTGGTTTATGGGGGTAAACTTTGTATAGTATCAGTGGATATCTAAAATTTATAACGGGCTGTCTGAGTGGTTGTTCAATCAACAAGTTTACGAATCATTTGATTTATTTCAAAGATCATTATTCAGGGGTAGGGGAGGTGACTTTAAATATAAGTTTACATACATGTCGCGTAATCAGTTTAACAACACATCTGTGGATGTTTCTAAATTCAAAATTTTACCCTTACCATGATTTAATATTGAATTCTGCTTAAGCCGGTTTCTAGGAGGCGTGGACGGTAACTTGCACTTCCCATTACCATCCATTAAACCGAGCCTGTAACATTTTCTATTTCGTCTTATTGGGGCTTTCTTTTGGGGTTCTTTATTTCTCTCTATCTTAACAACAAAACATTTATGCAAATGTATGATAGATATCGATATTGTCCAGGAAATTTAAATCGTAAAATAAATTTCAAGTATGCCTATGGATTCATTCTTGCTATTTAATTCTCGCAATTGAATGTTTCCTGTTTTTATAGAGGAGATTCTTTTATCGGACCACGCCATCTGGTGGAACCCTGATGCTTCCGGTATAGTTTATGCAAGTATTGATAACAGACATGTACAGACTTATGATATGACTATTTATGGACCATTAAAGAATAGATATGTAGAAAACAGGAGACTGCCTTATCCAAGGGTATGTTGTCTTCTTATCTTAAACTTGAAACTTTTAATATAAGCAAACGCCTATTTCTGTAACAATATTCAATGACGTTGTACATAGATACCTACCAATACTTACTAAAATGTCAGTTACAAAATAGAAATAGTGCTGAGATAAATGAGTCAATAATACATATATGTTACTCTGATTTACAATTTCATACGATCAAAGTTATACGCAATGACATATATTTCTTATTATTTGTGTGATTAGTATGTTAATGCCGACCTGGCAATTTAAAAGCAACACATACCATTCGTAATCGGCAAGAAAGCTCAGTTTGTGTTTTTTGTTTTGTTTGTTTTTTGTTTGTTTTATTTTTAATAATTAAGGTATGTCATATTATAAATTGATTGTGTGTTACTTAGATAGTTGCTTTTAACATTACAAATTAACGCATATGAGTTATTATATTTCCTTCCAGCCGGGTACCACAAATCCAACAGTGACAATGAAATATTATAATTTCAATAACAAATCTTCAATCACATTTAAACCACCGACTGATTTTGTAAACACGTGAGTATCATTAATAATAATATAATTAAAATCTTTCGGAAAAAAATGTTCATAAAATTTGATACATTTTAAGAATCTAAGAACCACAACGCCAAGCGCAATATGTATGGTAGATATCAAAAAGAAAATATTAAATAAAAAATTATAATTAATAACATTTTAACCAAACAATATTAACTATCCTCTACCGGTATGCATGCATTAATTAACATTAGATTTATATATTCTTGTTTATTTTATCTTGGCAATCGTTTTAAGATAATTCCGTATTATTTGGATAATCTTTATAGATACATATGTATAACAAAGTGAATTTCAGTAATTACGTTAAATTATATTTTACAATTGGTTATTTAATTTTTTAGAGAATATTATGTCACTTCCGTGACATGGAAGGACAGCACTCACGTGTTAGTCACGTGGCTCAATAGACCTCAGAATGTTTCCATTTTAACCATCTGTGATATTGTAACATACGATTGTTCGGTTGTGAGTATTAAAGTAATTTGTTTTTAATATAAAGTACAATCTTGATTGCTTCAAAGTATAATTGAAAATAATTAAGCATATTGAAGTTCCGCTGACAATGAAATGCTGTTATTTTTTCAGGAAAACTTTATACACGAATCTATAATTGTCCTGTAACAAAGCAGCATTATGTTAGCCTACCAGATATATAAAATAGATTAAATGATATAAAGCTGTTGTTTATTGTAAATTTCAGAGTTTCCGTGTAGAAGCGGAAAATGGTTGGCTAGACATGGTACGTTATGCATTACCTCAATTATTTAACATTGTCATTGTAAACAACATGTTTGTAAATATAACAAAACTTGATAGATTAACAGTATATAAATCTTCTGTTGGTGAACATGTCCAAAACATGGTTGTTACCAAGCGATAATAAATATAACATCCCTTGTAAAGGCTATGAGTACAAAGCTTAATTTAAATAGATGGGTAACTAACTAGAACTAGAATGAGTAGGCTCTTCACTTTATCCAATGTTTAATAATGAAATATGTAAGCAAATACTACCTGAACCGTAATTTGTATCAATTCTACAATGATGTCTGACTTCAAAATAGATAATGTTGCAAACTGAAAAAATGCTATAGATTGATGTAGAGTTAATTGAAAATGTTATACGCTTTCTTTGATTGAGCATGTTGTTGGACGACAGTGGTAAATGCAAACTACTGCCCATGCCCCCTAGCACCGACCGAAGTATAACACAACAACTGAATCATTATTCATGACAGTTTTGGAATTTTAATTTTAGAAACATACGTTTAGAAACAATCATTCAAGTATTAGCATTCTACCATCCTTTAATACCATGCATATCAATTTGTGCTGTTCAGAAGTAAAGTGACATTTATTGCACTCGATTAAAGCAATAGTGCATCCTAAACACACCGAGAAAAAGCAATCTGGTCATGAGAGACACGACTGTTGTCTAACTTGGGACAAAAATTCTATTTCAGTCGCAGTCTGCAGTGTTTTCATCGACAGGCGATGAATATTTTATTATTCTTTCACAAAAAGAAGGAGAGCATGGAAGTTTTAAACACATTGCCAAAATTGATGCCAGTACGTCTAACAGGGTGAGCGTCTGTTGACATTTTAAAATAGGTGACGTCAATTCTAACTATATATGTGTAATGTTTGAAACAATCCTATTAAAATCAGTTTCTCAATAATAACGTCAAAGAAAAAATCATAACTTTGATCAGATTTGTGTTTCAAGTGATTTACGGAATCGGGCCGAAAACTGTGATTCGATTTATTTATCTTTTTGCAGGGAACACGTTTGTTTGTGACGTCAGGGCGTTTAGAAGTGAAGAAAATTTTGGCGTACCATGACGTCACAAATACAGTGTAAGTATTATCCGGTTAATTGTTTAGCTTTAATTATCCCTATTTCCTCTACTGTTAAATTTTCAATCATTTTCGGTACTTCGCCCACGTGCGTAACAATGTTTCTAGACTGTGACACAATGATTTTTATTAGATAATAAAGCAATTTGCGACTGACATTTCTGTGCAGTTCATTGACAGGTGGAACAATGTCTTTATAATGCACCATTTTGTCAATGTTTAAAACTCAGCAAATATGGTCTTGTACTCATTTTATTTATTGTATAATGTACAGTCAACCCAGTGTTAAATATCATCTGTAGATAACATAATTATACACATTTACAGTTTAACTCGTCGGAATCTACATTAAGTAAATAAGATACACAGCATCATTCATGCTACGTGGCCATTCAGTCCAAGAGATGCCATTATAAATATATTTGTCGTCAAAAATAACGTCTTTGAATTGAGTAAGTAATGTAATTTACAAAGAAGCGACCATAATTTTAGAGGATTCAATATTAGGTATGTAGCTTGAGTGTGCATTTAGGTTTTACACTAAAAAGAAGCAGTTAAAATGTGCGTGATCTTATCTAGGCCACGGTACGATACTGCATGTTTAGTGAACATTTGAGACTTGTTTTGAAGTTCTACTTTATTTCCAAATATAGATTTCACAAAGTGTCTAAGTTTCACGATATTTGTATTTGTAAATATAATTATTAAGTGATTTAAACACCGAGGTCTTATGTATCCAACTTCGTAGAAAACGGTTTATAAAATATGGCTTTCGCGTCTTGGAAAACCTCTTGAATGTGTTAAAATTTTGATATAACGGTTTAAAATGTAACGGTTCTGACTCTTTCATTTTTGTAAATCTGGACAGTTTTTTACAATGAATTGTTTGGTTTCAATAATAGTCAAAACAATGTGAAACACTTTATAGCGCATCGTGGGAGCGGGCCTCATTCCCGTGTTTTTACACACCTTTGTACGAGCAATTACGGCAAAGGCAACAGCTCTTGGCGGAGTGCGAAATTGTGCTTATATAATTAGTTTGCTTTTGTTACGCTGGGATTAAGATGATGTTGATTAATCTGTAGGAGAATACCATCTTACTTTATGACATTGTTTCCTAGATAGACTTTAATGAAATTGACGCCTGAGGATTTTAGAAGGAATAAAGGTTTATTTTTCTAGGTTTTATTCAGAAGACAAATTAGCTATCTATAATATTTTGAATGAGAAAATAATCATGACACAACAAAAACGCAGCACTGTACAAACCATCTGTTTATGTACGAACTGCACACTTGGAATCAAAACTTGTATATTTTATAAACACAATCACCAGCTAAGAACTGGAGAAAAAAAAACATTTGTAAAATCTATGTTTATATACATGTATTTTGAAAACAATATGTACCTTGTTACCCATATAAACAAATAATTCTTAGCTCATAGTAAACTATTTTGCATGCTAGAATTATGTTTTCTTTCAGTTCCTTCAGACAAACATAAATCATTTATAATTAAACAATATTATAACCTTGTTTTGAAAAAACAACAAACACTTATATAGGTGTGGTCAATACAGGCATTTTATTCATTGATAATTACAAAACACAAGCACACTGCGATGGTTTCCCGCAAAAATATGACCAGAAATATGGTCTTTTGAGTCCATCTCTTAACACAAAAGATGAGAAGGGAAAAAAAATCACTTTCAATGTCCAAGAAACCATCTACACTCAAACACTTATTTAAATCCTTACATATGGATGATAATCTTTCACTCTGCTTCAATCTTACAGAAAATTTGACAATTCATTCGATCTGAAATAGATAAATTAACATGATAAAACATGAAACAAATTTGAATATCTATATATTAAATTTGAAGCACTGTATATTATTTCATGTATATAGCTCTTATGTTGTTAAAACATGTATGCAAATAAACTGTTGTTGTTGTTGTTGTTAAATCAAAACTTTACTGTAACCAAATTCCAAAGAATCAAAATAGTAATCTTAAAAAATGGGTGGGTGGGTGGGGAAACTAAACTAACCAGTTTAGTTTAACTGCCTGTATCTGACCTCAAAGTGACTTTAACACGTTACAACCCGGTTTATATATAAACCGCTTCCCGTTATAATTACCATATTTGGTAATTTCTCATGCAAAACATGACTTCAGTTATAACATAGAACAATAATAAATATAATTATATTGATGTTCATCTGTTTGCAGGTACTTCCTTGGAGTTCAACAAGACGATCCGAGAGAAAGACATTTGTACAGGTTCTTAGCATTTACAGTTTTTGATAATAATTTATGTTAAAAATCTAACAGCTATGTTCATATAACTAAAGCATATAATGAAATATTCTCAGTATTGTCGTTTTAAAACAGCTGAAAACTGTGAAGAATACTCATAGATATTTTTAGAATATCAAGATAAAAATTTATATGGTTACTTGGTGTATGTTGTACCGGGTGTTAACCGTATCTTGAAATCGTTCACAGTGCCACTGCAATACAAGAATCGGAAGATTTCCGGCAGCCGACGTGTTTATCATGTGACTACTCTGACGAATGTCTGTTCGTTGATGCCACATTTAGTCCAAAAGCCGACTATTTTGTATTAAGCTGTAAGGGTCCCGGGGTACCCTACTACCAGCTCATGACTCCGCCCTTCAATCTAGGTAATTGGTGTATACATTTAACCTCGCTGTATGAAATATAAAGAAAAATTAGGAGAACCAAAAAAGCACCGTTTAGTTGTATACTCTCACAAGTCTTTTAATAATCAGATACCAATGGAATATTTCAGTCAAATTACAGAAAGATGAATAAGGGATTATTTACAAAATTTGAATGCATTGTTTATATTTTGTCTGTTATAAATGAGATTTTTATATTTATTAAAAGCAAACAACATAGTTTAATAGCTCAAAAAAGTCTTGTTATAAATAAATAAAACATTGACGTTGCATACATTTGATAAAAAAATTCTTTTGAAACTCGTCTAGAAGAATTGTTGAACAGCAGATCCCTCGGAAGCAACGAAAACAGCAAAATTTCAGACTCAATTTGAATGAGTGTGCTAATGAGAGATACTGCAAATAATGTCGCACGCCCCCTAGCGACATCGGCATAAGCGATACTAAAAAGTAAATTACATGATTGTGTTTTCAAGAATTTCCCGATTTGAAAATTCTCTTTCCTTTCCTTCGTGTATATCTACACTAAAATTAACTTTTGTCAAATTATGCATATCTTCATTTTGTGATTGAGAGAAAGAAATTTTTTGGAATCTGTATTTAATCGTTCATATAATTCTACATGTATTGTTACAGTTAAAATGTTGGAGGACAACGAACAATTACGAGAGAACATCAAAGGGAAAGGATTACCAAAAATAGAATTTGCGCAAATCACGGCAGATGATGGCCATGGTAAGTTTAAGTAGACAACAGTTTTGGCACCATGTGACAACAGTTTTACTTTTCAAATGACAATTGATTGTCAACGATCATAAAATAGAGAACAGAAATAGCGTTCTCATTTCGTAGAGAATTTAAATTGTAATTTTGTTTATATTCCTTAAAAATATCTTAGTTTGATCTTAAAAGTAACAAGTTTTAGTTTTTGTCTTCAAATCAGAATTTTTTATTATGCACATTTTTCTACGCTAAATTTCAATTAACCTGTTTTTTGTTGAGGTCATTACCAATAATATGGCTGATCTTCACTGCCGGTTTATAGCATCGAAACAAAACGTTATATTGACGGCAAAATTGCTTCCGTCTTATTGAATCAGTATATGAACCTTGTTATTTTCTATGATAAAATATACATGTATTTTCATTCAGATATTTGGGTCAAGTTGTTCCTTCCGGCCGTTCTTAAAAAGGATGAAATTATTACCTTTAACATGGTAATGAAAGTGTAAGTCAAACGTTTTGTACATAAAGTAATATAACTGGAAATTGGAGTGCCCCAGTCTCAACCAGCATGACTATCTCCGAATAATGTTCCATGAAGATGTATCTTTCTTATAATTTATATCGTATAATAACCCTATAATAATAATAATAATAATAATAATAATAATAATAATAATAAAAAAAAATCTTGATTCTCTCCGGCCAGACGTTATTCTTCGTCTTAAACTGCTTCAAATGCCTGTTACAATGTGGTGTAGAATATAATTTTGGCCGTCTATACAACGATATGATCTTATTTGTTCTATGCACGTGCAGATACGGTTCCCCGGGCACACAGATGGTGACTCACGAATATTCCGTCGATTGGGAACACTATGAATGCAGTGCGCATGGTTTAATTATTGTGTACGTAGATACACGTGGTTCTGGTGGGCGTGGCGATGACTGGACGTTTTCAATCTATAAAAACCTTGGTACTCTAGAAGTTGAGGACACCATTACGGTCGCTAAGTATGTTTTGTCACTGATCATGTTCTTTGTTCCTATCATACATATCATACATGTCATACATGTATGCATTACTTAAAACACTTAACATGATAGATTCAGCAAGTTAAATGAACAATAATGTACTATATTATCTCATCTGTGTATTTTCCTCATGAACTCACAAAATCAATTGTAAAACCGATTATTGTTAGATAAAAGAGTGGATCAAAGAGGGTATATAATTTATTGCATGTTTTAACGATGCATACACCAAAAGCACATTGCTAGTAAAATGTTTAAATCGAAAATCAAAGAATTTAAAAGGTTAGAATATTGATAAGTGGACCACAGTACATATAGATATTCTGAGCATGCGCAACTATACTTCTCAGCTAATGTTGCGATCAGATTAAATAACTAAAAATAAAAAAGCCTTTTCACTGATAAAAAAATAAGACGAACACTAGCAATGGCAAGGACAGAGGTCAAAGGAATTTTAGAAGCATATACGAGAACTTAAAGTAGCCAATAATCATTGTTACATGCTAGTTTAGCATATTGATTCTTCTAATAATAGCGTGGCACCAAATTATTTCCTGACTATTTCTCTACAACCTTTTAATTGTTATTGTATTTTTATAGAACCCATCGCAGTTTTTCTCCTTTTTATAATAATTTCCATTAGCTACGGAGTTAATTAAAGAACAAGTAGCAAGCTTACCCGCAGAAATCAATCCGGCATATGTTTAAGATAACGCCCGGTGCATTTTGGTGAATCTTTTGTGTAGCTGTCTAGCAAAGTTGACTGCATTTTATGTATTAATTAACTTGTAGACGAACGTTTACTTACTTCTTGCATATTTCAGACATTTCCTGTCCCAACAATATGTACATGCGCAGGCAGCTATCATAGGCATTGTAAGTCATAAAGTTTTACTTACCTTGTAACCTACTTGTTTGGTCAATTTTATTCGATTCAGATAAAAATTTCAAAGGAATGTGTACGTTATGGTATATCATTGTAAAAGTGCTAAGTACTTAATAAATGAATAGTTAAGAAATGCTTAAGACGAACTTCAAATTTTACCTAAAACTGATTTGTGCAACTACTTAAAGGGATTCCACAGAGGGTGTTTGACATAACATAACTGGCAATAATGTTTTCGAGATTAATTTTCCATTTGATGTAGGTCTAATACATAATTTGTGTGCAAAATTTCAGACCATTTGCACACTAAGCTTGTCCAGAATATAATATCTATTTATTGTGAAAAAATGACCCGAAAATGAAAGGCGTTGTGTGCAACGCAGTTCACTCAAATCGGACTAAGAATAGCACAAATATACGATTTTAAGCTTATTTCTGATTATATTATTTAATAATCTGTTTGCATATCATACAGTTTAAGAGCCCCAGCTGATTTCTTTAAGAAATTCAAATTTTAAACATTAAGGCTTTTCGACTTAACTACGAGATTAATATAATAAGATTGATGATATAAAATATAAAGTAACAGAATAGTAAAAGAATACGTTTATAGAAAATATTTGATATTATTACAGTCTCATGGTGGTTTTGTCGCAGCGTCGGTACTAGGTAACAGAGACAACCCATTCAGTGCTGGTATAGCCGTGGCACCTGTCACAGACTGGAGATATTATGGTTAGTTTCGTAACTTAACTAAAACATAAGGGAATAGATCTTGAATAACTGGTCCCTCGCCTTTGTGGGTCGAACCATGTCAGATACTTATTTTAATTACCTTATATGAAAAGGCTTAATAGCTGTCAGGTTTTTTTTGTTCTACTAAGATGTCCTTTAATGTTTGAGGCGCCATATTTACGGCTTAAAACACCAAAAATATAATTTTATTCTGTTAACAGAAAAAATGGAGCTATATGGATCTTAATCTGTCAGTGCAATTACTTAAACTAGTAAGTGACAATAGGTCAAGGTACAGCAGTGTATTTTTGGAGTAGATGCTACTTTTCACAGTTATAATGTAATCAAAAATACTTTTTAAAGTTGTCTTTTACCATAGTATAATAATTTTCTAATATATAAGTTGTATAATGATATTTAGAGAAACATATACGAGAAAAAGTATGCCATTTTACCGTTGTTGTTTTCCTCAATAGAATAAATCTGAAAATGTTTCCAACAGCAATGGTAAAAATTCTGCCGGATCCTCAATTGCAGTCTTTGTAGTTTTAATTGAAATTTACAGATTGCAGACGACTTTATTACTAGTTAATTGATTGGCCGCAGATGACGTGGAGTCCTAATGTTATTTATTATTTCCTGAGTAATGTTTACCGACTTCAAATTCTTCATGATTACAGACTGCAAAAGAGTAACTAGAAAATTGAGCGAACATTCAATTTGCGGCAGCTGAAACGAGTCTGTTTCTTTCTGTACTTTTACGACAATTCTAATGAAAAGGAAGAAAAGCACACACTCTATTTCAATAATGTCTCAAATGGATTACTGCTGCAACATATTTTAACGTCTACTTTTTGTGTAATATGTCAGTTGTTGAGACATTTATATGGTAGATTCAGCTGTCATCTTATGTCGGAAATATTACTCTACGGTGCCTTCTCCCGACACTTATAGTGCTAGAATGTGTCCAATGCAGTGTTAAGTGCCTTTACAACAATTAACTTGTATTGACCTTAAAAAAATTGAAAAAACTGTCGAACTTGGTCATTCTTTCACAAATAATGCTAGAATGGCCAATGCATGTAGTGTCCAGTGGCTCAATGTCCATTTATACTCATATTATTATAAGCATCATTGTAACTAGAACGGAAAAAAATCTTTGTCAAACTTGTATCAACTGCTAGTTTCTGAAGGCGGTAAAGATATATAAAGTTGGAAATAAATACCATTTCCAAAAAAATGAATGTTTGATAATAAGCGGACGATATCGATTAATATGTCTTCCGGTCACAGTTTTCGTACTTAAGTCATGTTAATTGGTATCATAATTATAATAACTTTATGCTTTTTCAGACTCATTTTATACAGAGAAATTTATGGGATTTCCCACTGGAGCTGACAATATTCAAGGGTACAATGTAAGTTAAAAAAGTTAATGTCTTTTAATTTCCTTCTTGGGTATAATTTTATTTGATACTTATAAACCTATATTTGTAGAATAATTCCTGACAATGTGTTGATTAGGCCTACATAAAAATGCAGAAATGTGTACCGTTAACTGAAAATGTATTATAGTGGCGATAACAATACGTGTGACTTTGAGTACTTGTTTTATATGGAGAGAATTTATTTTGATACTTATCTTCTTATTTATTTTGTGTGATCATTGCAGACTGCCAATGTATCGGGAAATGCAGGAAATTTCAGGAAATCAAAGTTTATGTTGATACATGGTACTGGAGATGGTAGGTTTGATTTTCTATAAAACGATAACGTTGTGAAAAGGAAAAGGCTGTGATTTTGATATCATTAATTAGACAGGCGTTTATAAATGAAGGCAAATAAAAAATTCAACCCTTTTTGTGGAAAAAATTGATATTTTGTAATAATTTTTTGTTATGTTTTATAACTGGCTTTTATTGGAAAGTTCACATTTTTCGATACAAATTCAAATTCATTACTTATTATTTCAGACAATGTACACTTCCAGCACTCAGCACAGTTGATCAGAGCTTTAACAGAGAGTGATGTATATTTCAAAACTCAGGTATGACTATTAGTGTAGGTTCTGCTTTAGCACAACCTTGTTTCTAAAGTTGTGTCATGCGCAAGTTTCAATGTCTGTTTCTGACGTAACTTGTTTCATTTTTGATCTGTTTGTTAAGTTATCAGTTTGATTTATGTTTATCATTGAAGAAAATGACAAAAGTCGAATATTCTGGCACAAAAGATGATTATGCCTTGTCAGAAATTATGCTAACGTTTAGTTGTGTAGTTTATTTTTCTTCCTGGTTAGCCTTGGAATGTTACTTCCCTTTCGTTTTTTTGAGAATGTCATTTTTGTTGCGGTTATATTCCTCTCTTTTTCTTTCACTATAATATCAAATTAAATACGACTGGGTGTTTTTATATTTCAGATCTACACAGACCAACAACATTGGTTAAATGGTGGTAACACACGGAATCATTTATACAACACCATGGAAGATTTCCTTTTCCGGAGCTTCGGGAGAACCCCACCACGTGAGGTACCGGAAGTTGTGATTGTAGAAGAGGAGGAAGACTAATTAATGTATTTAAATAATCACGCGAGACAATCAAAACATTGGAGTCAAAACGGAAACCGTCGTGCCAAAATCGGCTGCTTTTAGATATGATGGCGGGTGATAAAAGTTCATATCAAATTGCTCTTCAGTCTTCAGATTTTCAGATGATCTGGAAGATTTGTTACACGCATGTGTCAATAAAACAGATAGGACTGTTATCTTCATTAACAATGTGATTTATTTTTACGACATTAGTGATAACCCGGATGACGACTGATTCGGCCAAGCGCAGTTTAGATTTGTTTCATTAAAAAAATCCAAAAAACATTGAATTAAATGTTTGTATGTGTAATAGATCTCTAGAAAATCGTGAAATCAAATTTATTATATGAACATTTCCTGTTGGAAATAAAAGATAAATCATCAAGAACAATGTTTCTACGTTGTCTTGGTAAAACAAAGAAGTGGTGCTCAAACAGCTGTCATTGCTTTTTTGTATTAACACTAAAAATTAAATTCATATAATTGTCAATGCAAAAATCATTCAAATGCCAGAGGCATTTGATTTTTCAAGAGTTCTAATTCTGACTGCTTAATATAATTCACTTAGAGAATGTTCAAGTAATGTTTTTGTCTTGTAAAATACAGTTTAGAAATACAGCTTAGGTTTGTTCGGATATAAAGCTTATTAGTTTACTAAATTGACCATACATTTGTAAAAAGATGCAGATATCATGTACAGGGTTTAAATCAACGCTATAAATGTAATATCGCAGCATTAATTTTTATACAAATATCTAAATGCATGTATTGAGGTTTGACGCCTAGAATGGTTAAATTCTTGTTGGTTTGAAATTTCTAGAAACGTTAAAAACGGTTATATGTATTAATTGTTCAGTAATGTTTTAAGCAAACGTGTCCACCTTTCAATTTTGACAAAACCGTACACTATTTTTGAAAAAAAAATCAAAATATGAACTGACTAAATAGTTACTAGTGCAGACCATGATCAGATTGCAATGATGTGGCGGTCGGTACATGTGTATAGATCTGCACTGAACGCACGTTTAGAATCAATTGTCACTAGAAGGGTAAAGGCTATAAAGTACTATTTGGGCAGTTTGAATTTTATTTCTTTGCTTTGCATTTTAAAAAATCAACATGTTAAAATGCTAGCTTATTTCCGTTGGTAAAAAAGGCCTGTTCGTATAGTTGAAATTAACATTTTTATTTTTCAAACTCTAATTATGCTAATAAAGGTTTTTCTTTTTTATGAGACATTTTATTTGGTTATTTATTTATTTATCTATTTATTTATGTATTATCATTTTTTGGGTTCTTATAATTTAAAATCACGGAAAATGTTACGCACATTCATGTAAAAATATCGCAACACTGGTCCGTTTTTACATTGATATTATATTTTGTGCAATTTTTAATTCTTCATCAATAGTTCAGACTTATTCATTATATATGTTTTGTTGATATGTTGACGTATTTAAGATAGAGTGAGTTACGTTGAGCGTTTATGTAACTGAGTGAATGATGCTGATAATGTTCAAATATTGACCAATAATCAATACTGTAGTTCCAAAACTGTTCATACAGTAGATAGAGGGCGTGTTGTGTGCAAAGGTCATATACTTTAGTATTTCAGTACATTAGTTACACATGAAAGGGGGGATTGTGGAAACTGAATCCACTTTTCATGCTAACTAGTGTAAATTCCTATGTAAAGGTGAGTTATGTAACAATACATAGGGGTTCTAATCTATTGTTTATTTGTATACACAAGCATTGCTTTTAAGAAGATATCAATACATGTAAGTCTAGATGTTTAATTATTCTGTAGTGGTTTTATTTCCATTATACGAAATTTGGATTTACGTTTTAGAAAAGACCTAACCATTCAATGGTAATATCACTATAGGTAGTTAACATTAGACAGTAGTGTATTTTATAGTTAATAGTGAATGTTTGACCTGGGTAGACGGTCTATATTAAAGGAGGGTAATCATGTAATGTTAGTATGGAAGAGGTTTTGAATGTAAGGTCATAATATTGTTGTTTTTATAACTCAAAGGGGGTAAGTTGATTGTTGTTTTGTTTTAAATGGTGACGTAACTGCCAGTGTTAAAACATACGTTAAACAGTATTCATTTGTAAATATGTCAGAAACACATGTGATTCTATGTAAAAGTTGTTTTTTTTTCTATGTTTCCCTACATTTATAAACATTCCTATACATTTTTTTTGTATTGTTTATAACATTGGCCTATGTTCTGCATCTTCCTGTTTACACACAGTTACTTGTTCAAGTGATAAATCAACCAATTAAAGTATTTTATTTGATATTTCTTCTTTTATTATTACTCCAATTCAAATTGTCAATATGTCCAATATGTAACCAGACGAATGCATTTGACAAGTCAAGGTTGAACATGTGATAATGTAAACAAATGAACCTTTTAACAACAGTGCATTGATGGTCCTAGATCGCTCACCTAATATCAATTAGAAGAAAAAGTCACAATTCTTCAATGCAAAAGTATCTGCAATGTTTCATTTTTGGCATCAAGGGCATGATTTGTATACCTTTCGTTGGCCTAGAGGCAATGCCACATTTAAGCTCTTTGCATTGTAGTTTCAAACAAGAAGACTTAAAAATGTTTTCCTATACAAGTTTATATAAACCTTTAAGTGACACAGGTCACAGAACCACTAGAGATTTGGGCATGGTAGTTTCTGAGGTAAGAATTTTTTAAGATTTTATTTTTACAGTATATTTTTAGCTCTTGCGACCAACTTATACAATAGACTGGGACAATGTATATATAACTCTTGTAGAGGACCACCTAATGATCATTCCTTTGAAGTTTTATAAAAATTCAACATTCTGTGTGCCTGGTGTCTGCCTGGGATATCCATGGTCAAACACTAACGAAAATAACCATGGTCAAACACTAACGGAAATAACCATGGTCAAACACTAACGAAAATAACCATGGTCAAACACCAACGGAATGATGTTGTCTGAGATATCTATGGTAAAAAGATAACAGAAATGTTGTCTGATTAGGATATTCATGGTCAAACAGTAACAGAAACATGTGATCTGCCTGTATAAGCTTTGGTAATTAATAAATAAATGTTTTAAGTTTTAACTTAGCCCTTGGAATAACAAAAGAGAGAAATATAATTTGTACAATGAAACTGACATTACAACAAAACCACCATCACAAACAACAACAACAACAAAATATTCAATAAATATAATTTATTTCTTATATTGCACATATTTCACATTGTAACAAATTTCATTAAAATGTCTAATAAAAACTACAGTATGATGCTTTAATCAGTCAAATCCTAATAAATATCAAATCAAATATCATCAAAGATAAAGACTTTAACAGTTACAATATGAAGATAACATTGTCCAGGGGAAACAACTCAGATATTAAGTTACTATTTAACATGCTGTAACATACCCTTGTTTAAACATAACGTCTGCACTAACATTGTTTTTTAAACAGCTTTACAATTGTGAATTTACATACAGAGTATATTGGAATGCATTAAATATTTCATAATAATTTTATCATTAATTCTTCTTGTAATATAAGAGTTCACTAACTAAATAAAGAATCCATCACATTATATTTTACAGTTATGCATTTTTAATTTTAAACCTAGCAAATAGTTAAAACATTCATTAAAAGATTCAGTATTAGCATTCTACCACATATGTACATGTACATATCTTTTATTTTCAACATCTACACATCTCAACATATCAAGTCCAGTTTACATATGCACAATCAAATCATAGGTTATTATAAATATTCCATTAGTTATGATATAAAATGCCAGGTATACATATGGTTTACTCATCCTCTCTCACATATCAGCTCAATCACCTGAAAATAAATGGAATAGTGCCAGTTACAAGTGAAAACATCAAATATAAATAAAAAAAAACAACATCAAAACATGGCATTTATAGTTTTGTTTAAATCAACCTTTTTATAAATCAATATTTAAAAACGATATTTCTGATTAAAGACCTATTACTATGAAACTAAAAGTTGAAATCACATGAATACAAGTATTTGTTGTGGTTTTGTGATAACTAAAACTGTCTGTAAAGCATGAGATATAGAGGATATTGAATGAGTGTAAGTTTAATACTGAATTTATTAAACAAGTTGAATAAAATTAGTATTAAACTTACAAAAATTTAACATTCTATTTATCATATACCAAAGACAAAGACCGTTTTGAAGTAAAAAGAACCATTTTTCATTAACCCGCCTATAATATAACGCTAACATTTAGCGCGTCTAAACGCTATGTTTATATAACAGAAATGAGTTCACGTCAAATTATATGTACGGCCGTGCAATACCATTTTTACGGAGTCGTAAAAGCGGCATGGGTATGTGATAAGTGAAGTTATTGAACAGCTATTTATTGACTGGTTTTTAGGAGTAGAAAAATGATGTAAACATATAAGATGACTTACACTAGGTTCCATCATCACTGGATCTAAACATCTGTGTACTGTACTACATACTATCTCATCTAATAAAACTTGAACTAAACTGTAAATATAAAATGATTAGAATAACCAATGATTTTTGGCCATTGACCACAGGCAGTTAATCTGATGTTAAAATCATCTTTTAACTTTACAATTACATACTTAAGATAACAATTAAGTTTTTAACTTATGCATATAACATAAGATTTAGAAAATGTAATAATCAACAGTAGACACAGAAAATACAGAAATAGCTTCCTATGCCTTAAAATAATGCAAACATCTACAAAATGTTGCATTTTAAATTTTACTAAGTGACAAAAATAAATGCAAGCATACAAAAATAGGACATTATTATTAAAACACAATACTAAGGTATTACTTTTCATCTGAGACAAATCTCCATAGATATAATTGTAGATAGTAGGTATCAACTTGTATCTGCTGTAACCCATAGCGACCAAATATCCTCAATCTTACACACTCCATAAATGTCTGAAATAAAATATATAATATTAGCTACATATATCAAAATCTTGTTAGTTTAGTAAATTTTCATTAAGTACCACTGTTGCATGAAAAATATTCTAAACTGAAAGCAGGACAAACACATCTATAAATTGTAAAGTGCACTTCTGAAATCTCTAAAAATAAACAGATTTCAAATTGATTTTTGCCTATATATCTTTTTTTAATTTTTAATGATTTTTTTAAATAAATTGCATAAACACAAATAAGTAGACAGTACTTTTTTTTACCTCTTTGGACCTTGACTAAAGTTTTTGATGTACTATATTATTTTCTAGACTGATTTCTCAGAAAACTGTCAATGACTCAATCACTTTGAAAAATATTATGGAAAATCAGAGAATTTTAAAACAATATTTATAGCAGCTAACTGTGATACTTTTTGTGTGGTGGTTAATACATTTTATTTGAAGAAAGAAAAAAGTATTTAGTATTCAAAATAAAATTCACTTGTAACTAGCAGAACTTGTTTTTGTTTTTTTTTGTGTTTTTTCTTTTTCGAAATTTCAAATGTCTAAAACATGTTGGTTTGCTACCTTGTTGATAAAAGATATTTCAATTGCAATTCTTTCCAACAATATAAGCTTATTCTAAGTGGTTATCATGACGATGTGACACCAGCCAAAGTTAATTAATTTGTTCATCTATCTTTAACTGACAACATACACTTAACTATCTTCAAATGAATGTTTTCCTCACATGAGACCCTGTCAGAAAGTATGGTGAAAACATGAAAAAAGATCGGAACCTATTTAAAACAAAGTTAAATCATTAGGTGACACTAATCATGAATACACAGAGTATATAATAAGATAAACAAGAATACCTTCAAGCTGATTTTAATGATGCCAGTAAGTACAGAGACCTTGGAGAATTCTACAGCACTAAATATCTCAATTTTCTCAGAAAACAGTTTCTGTATATTGCTCATCAGACTGTTGTCTATGCTGAAAATTTGAATATAGAATATATGTATACATATGATCACATAAGTTGTGTTTTCAATGCAGCATTTTGTACAGAAATAATGTCCCCATATGAAAACATGTAAAAGGAATGTAAGTTAAGATAACAAAACTTTTAAAAGTTAAATTGCCACTTTATTCCGTGATCCTCCATAACATGTGTTACTGTGCTACTTTCTTTCATATCCAACAAAATATTACTTATAAAATTGGTAGTTATTTCATTTACATGTTTTATCCCTCATTTACAGACACAATCAAACCAAGTCTGCAATTTTCGTGTATTTTTGTTGTGATCAATCCTTCTGAGGGATAACACTTTGTTCAGATTTTTTAATTGCTCATACAACATTTTCTTGCAAAAACCTGACATATTTACAATCTGAAACCAGGAAGGAAGTATATATAGTTACCTAGGTGTATAGTTCCACTGTCCACGTTTTTGTTGTGAGGCAGCATAACTATAACTATGTGCTCTACGACTAGAGTCACTACTTCTCTCCTTCCTTACACCTTCCTCATATAGTTGTCCTACCTGTAATACAGTAACAGAAAACACTAGTGATGTAATAATACACCAGTATTTTCTGTAATACAGAACATAGTTCAAAAGTAAGACAACAATGTTCTGTAATAAAGAACATAGTTCACTAGAGGTGCAATAATAAACCATTATATTGTGTAATAAAAAATAGACTTGTTCACTGGTAGTGCAACAATATACAATAAATGTATTTCAATACATATTGAATAAAATATGAGTCAACTGTATCACAATATCTGAGTATTCTTATACAATAAAATAAATAGATATTGAATGAGTGCAGATTTAATACTAAATTTATTGAATGAGTTGATGAAAGTGAAATAATGAATTACAATTAGAAAGAGTAATTTTTTGTTGATGTGGCTAACATTTACACGCCTGAATGATATATATAGAGGATATTGAATGAGTGTAGGTTTAATACTAAATTTATTGAACGAGTTGAATAAAATCATATTATGCGAGCCTCTGGCGAGCATAATATTGTTTTATTCAACGAGTTCAATAAATTTAGTATTGAATCTTCACGAATTTAATATTCTATTTATCACATATATAAAATAAGAACGGTAAACTGTGATCAAGAGTCATTTTTCTTTGACGCGCCTATAGTGTAACGCTAACATTAGCGCGCTTTAACGCTATGTTTATAGCGCAAATGACGTGACGTTAAAGTGTTATTACACTAGTGTAATATCGTCTAGTGTAATACCGTTTTTATTAAATGGCTTTATTACACTCCTGCGCCGCGGTTTATGTGATATTTGTATATACAGTAGAACTTCTATGAGACGAACTTCGATTAGTCGATTTTCTCGATGTGTCGAAGTAAAATGAAAGTCCCGATTTTTTCTCTTATATATTCCATATAAAAACCTATTTATGAGTCGAGATTTTATGTGTCGAATTTTTCGTGGTCCGTATAGAATAAATCTAGTACAATTTACCACAAATAAGTCAAAGTCCTTCGATTATTTTGACACCTTCGATCTCGAGACATTTTTCACACCTTTTCTTGCCGCGAAGACCTTAAGTGACACGTGTTAATTACACAGCTGAGTGTTCAAACAACCTTTGAATGCGTTTAAATGTGTGAAAAAATGCTTTAATCGTTTCTAATTTATTTGCCGTAGCGGTATTTGAAAGTACATGTAACAGTAAGAACTATCATACTTCCGTGACCCGGTGTCGCGTGATAATCACACGCGAAATATTAACTATAAGCTGGTTAAGTTATTGCCCTTTCGAATTGTTACGCCTTTTGTAACTTCATTGTATACGTCAACAGGTAGTTCAAATCATTAGCCGTGAAAAGATACTTAACATGTCATATTTATCATTGCATAAAGTAAAATATCAGATTAATAAATGAAAGAAAACATGAAATAGGTTACGTTATAGATCTTATAATTACGGGCAAGTCACAGGTTGAAATTTTGTCATAGCATTCAGAACGATTCATGAGTTGAAGTCCCGATGTGTCGAAGTTTTTACGCAAGTCCCTCCAACTTCGACTTACCGAAGTTCTACTGTAGTTCAAATGACGTCATGTCAAAGTTTATTACACTAGTGTAATATTGTTTTTATTAAATGGGTTTATTGCACACCTCCAATGTGGTTTATGTGATAACTATGTGTTTACCACAATTCACTACTTTGCACTGAATGTCTATGACAAAATATAAAATCTCGTATTTATATATAAATGCTACATTGTTTCTTGACAAGGACACATATCAGAACGCTCAAGGAAAGAAACTAATATTCTATATCTAATGTTAAATGATAATCCAGGTAGTTACCTGTGAATCTATTGATGTGATGTCTTCTACCACTCGTTTCATGACAGCTCGTACATTACGTGGTTCTATGGTATTTAACCAGTCTCGTGTCTCCACACTCTTACGTAACATCTGAAAGTATTCATGTAAAATACAGAAAATATCAACACAAATACAGCAGATTAATGGCCAGAGTATATCCACACCTGGTCTTAAACAAAACTAAACTGAACCAAAAAAGAAACTTTGTAAAGTATGTGCCAGTTGTTCTAGGGTACCACTTAGATGTACACACTTATATACATGTAGTAGCTTGTAAAACTCGTTTTGTTTGCAAAATCGGTCAGCTAATCCCCGTATAAAAGCCCGACATGTTTATTCAACATAAAAATCGAGTTTTAAAAGGATTGAAAAACTGAACTAACATATCTACATTCAAACTTGGAGAAAGTTTCTTTTTTGTTTGAGTATATGTTTAAAAGAAAATATTCTTCATACTACCTATTTCTGAGTGAATTAGAAAATCAAACAGTCTGCAGTATTTCCAATTTTGCTGTCTTTGGTGTTCTTTAAGGATTTGTTTCAAAATACTTAATAAAATGTTATTTATAACTATTTCATGTCTAATAACCCCAGTCCTATTAAGGAATTCCTTTTTTCTATTTTAGAAGCCAACCCATGTTTAAATAAATTAGAGAAATAAAGTTGTACCTGTGATATAGCTAGACCTTGAACTTTGACATAATGGTTAAGAAGATTCTGGGCAGTCTGTTTAATGTCTGCACACAATGAAGAGACTGATGTAACTTCTAACTTATGATCCATGTCAAACTGCTCCTCTGTCAATGTTATCTGGTAAAAATATAAACATCACAAATAAGTAATTAATGTTTTAACTTATATGAAAAACTATTCAGAAAATTGTGATTAATTTGTTTAGATAATTTTTAAGAGGAAAATGTGCAAAGATATTCAATGTGCCCAATCCACAATGAGTTGATGTATAAGACAATATTAAATGGCTTTTGCAATGTAAAGATAAAAAGTTATACAAGAAAGTAAAATGGAAAAAAAATCAAGATTAAGAAAATAGATTTTATAGCATTGCAACATCTAATGCTTGCAGTAAAATTAAGCATGGGGATTTTTTACACTTTGATTTTTTTAGACACCTCTTATTTATCACAGTGAAAGAATTAACAGAAAACATATAATTAAGATAGTCTTACTGTAATGCTTTCCTTCCAAAATTGTCTTACATTGGCCAATATCACAATAAATTGATCATTTCTGGAACATTATTTTTTTACAATCTTCAAATTAAATAATTTTTTAAAAAGTTTATAACCAGATTTAGTATATAGCGATAAAGGATGAGTGATTGTAAGTTAGTGATTGTAAGTTACTTAATGACCAAGATCTTGAAACAAGAGGGCCATGATGGCCCTGAGGTCGCTCACCTGTATATAGGCCCCCCACCCCCCCAACGTTGCAGGGCCAATTTAACCCAAGGGCTTTTATTTGCACAAACTTGGTAGACACCCATAAGAAGATGTTTCATGCTAAACATCTAAGCTCTAGCTCATTGGGCTTTTTAAAAGAAGATTTTTTTCTTCAGTTTTTACTATACACATATAGTTAAAAACAATGACACCCCTTGGGCCGGGCCAGTTTTGACCCCAGGGCTTTTATTTGAACAAACTTTGTAGACACTTACTAGAAGATGTTTCATGCTTAATATCTAAACTCTAGCTATTTGGGTTTTTTCAAAGAAGATTTAAAGTTTTTGCTAAACACATATAAAGAAAATCAATGACCCCCGGGGCGGGGCCAATTTTGACCCCAGGTCTTTTATTTGAACAAACTTTGTAGACACTCACTAAAAGATGTTTCATGCTTAATATCTTAACTCTAGCTATTTGGGTTTTTTCAAAGAAGATTTTTTAAGTTTTTGCTATACACATATAAGGAAAATCAATGACCCCCCGGGGCAGTGCCAATTTTGACCCCAGGGCTTTTATTTGAACAAACTTGGTAGACACCTATTAGAACATGTTTGATGCTCAATATCTTAGCCATAGCTCTTTGAGTTCTTTAAAAGAAGATTTTTTAAGTTTTTACTATATGCATATAGGGAAAATCAATGACCCCCCGGGGCGGGGCCAATTTTGACCCCAGGGCTTTTATTTGAACAAACTTGGTAGACACCCATTAGAACATGTTTCATGCTAAATATCTTAGCTCTAGCTCTTTGGGTTCTTTAAAAGAAGATAGTTTAAGTTTTTACTATATGCATATAGGGAAAATCAATGACCCCCGGTGCAGGGCCAATTTTGACCCCAGGGCTTTTATTTGAACAAACTTGGTAGACACTCACTAGAAGATGTTTCATGCCAAATATCTAAGCTCTAGCTCTTTCAGTTCTTTAAAAGAAGATTTTTTAAGTTTTTACTATATGCATATAAAGAAAATCAATGACCCCCCGGGGCGGGGCCAATTTTGACCCCAGGGCTATAATTTGAACAAACTTGATAGACACTCTCTAGAAGATGTTTCATGCCAAATATCTAAGCTCTAGCTCTTTGAGTTCTTTAAAAGAAGATTTTTTAAGTTTTTACTATATGCATATAGGGAAAATCAATGACCCCCCCCGGGCAGGGCCAATTTTCACCCCAGGGCTTTTATTTGAACAAACTTGGTAGACACCCATTAGAACATGTTTCATGCTAAATATCTTAGCTCTAGCTCTTTGGGTTCTTTAACAGATTTTTTAAGTTTTTACTATATGCATATAGGGAAAATCAATGACCCCCCAGGGCGGGGCCAATTTTGACCCCAGGGCTTTTATTTGAACAAAATTGGTAAACACTCACTAGAAGATGTTTCATGCCAAATATCTAAGCTCTAGCTCTTATGGTTTTTTAAAAGAAGATATTTAAAGTTTTTTCTTTCGGTTGCCATGGCAACCAGAGTTCTGCATGGAATTAAATTCTTTGAACAATTTTTAAAGGTGACCACCAAAGGAACATTCCTGTGAAGTTTGGATGAAATTGGCTTAGTGGTTTATGAGGAGATGTCATTTAAAGTAAAAGTTTACGGACGGACGGACGACGGACGGACGACGGACGGACGGACGGACGCCGGACGAAAAGCGATCACAAAAGCTCACCCTGTCACTTTGTGACAGGTGAGCTAAAAAGTAACATTCTGGAAATAACAAATATGCTACCATATTGGCCAATTTAAGATTTTTTGGCAGGAAAGCATTAGTCTAAGGGTAAGACTACCTTAATATTATTATTTGGTCTCACCAGGTATGATATTGTAGAACTCTCAAAGTCCGAGCACAACCGTGACAAGATAAGCAGTAAAGCAGGAGGTGCCGAACCTGTACCCTCACAGAAATCCTGGCACACCTTGGTAATGTGCTGGATATATGCTACAACCAGACCTTCCCTTACACCCTGGGTACAAAATGGTCCTCTAAAATATGGCTTCATAGCAAATGTAATATCTGGAGCTGTAAATACCTGAAATATCAAGAAAAAATTAATATAACTACACAGATACAAAAATGTTCCTTAGCTAAAACAAGTTTCCAAAACTGCTGCCAACTGCTTTATAATCAAACAAAATTCAGATTCAGCAAGAAAAAAAAAATCAATAATGAAACCATTTTTGATAAGTGAAATATATAATAAAACAGAAGCCATCAAAAACAGCATGCTCAACTATTCTCAGAGCCTGGATAATCAACTTAACTTAAAAAGGTTTGATTTAAAATACATGACAAAGTTACAAATCTTGGATAGTAACAAAGGAATTTTTCAAGTTCAAAAAGGGCCATAGTCAGCTATGGATCTTGAGCAGTGAACATCAATTTTGACCTCAAAGACATTTGTGAAAGTACAAGCAAATATAATGGTGGTTGACGAGATTAAAAATTGTACAAAAAAGTAATACTCCGAGCTGTAACCGAAGTGTAAGCTAAAATTGACACCCTGTTGAGCTCCATTATTTGACGTAAAAATATAACTCACAGAAGATGAAAATGAAAATGTTAAGCTTTTAATTAATGAGCATAAAATATTACAAAGGATATATTCTAACCTGAAGGTTTACCAGAACAGATTTAACTTGCTCTAAGGTGGTAATCTGAATATTACTCAACAGTTCTGTAAGATTGGCCCCCTGTTCTTGTTTACTGGCTACACGTGGACTTGCCAGATTCTGACGTATATCTGTCATACAATCTGGAATAATAATACAAGTAATAAACTCAAGGATCACTAGATGTATCAATAGCTGGACAGTGCAAATAGTTTCATCTGGAGTCAGACCAGTCTGCCAATCTATTATGACGTTTGTATACTTACTCAACCAGGTTACGCCTTTTGAGGTTCTTAATTATCTAAACTAAATACATCCAAACTGTCATTATACAACCAGGAAATATAAATGCCCTACTTCTACTATATGTGAAATCAAGATTTCATTTCTAAATTTCTTATAAATATAAGGAAATGAATGTTATGGCATTTTACTACAAGCATTTTCATTTCTTATTTTCAAATTATCAAACAAACATTTTATGACCACACGGATGCAAACAATAAAACAAGAGCTGTCCGTAAGACAGCGCGCTCGACTTTTTTATTGCTTGCCAATAAAAAAAGTTTTTGCAGTAAAAGGCAATACAAGAATCTCTGTATTTTTAAAGTGAACAATGGCCATGAGCATTAAGATATTTAGTGAAGAATTATTTTACTGAATTGTGTGATACCCTTGAACACTGCAGCAATGTTTATATGACATAATTTATGGTAAAGTGAACAAGTGGATAGGAATGAATTTTTTTAGATTTTTTAAGTTTTTTAGTGCTTGCCTATAATACAAAACATTGACAGTTAAGGGCCATAATTCAAATAAAATCTTTGACAGAATTACCTTCTCCTGGACATGTTTGGGAATCATGATTGTAAACAAGTATTCCAACTTTCAAATTAATATCTCAAACAGTTCAGTCAAAAAGTGGACTGGTACTAAAAACTTAACCAAGATTCTAAGTCGATAAAAGGCCTTAATTTTTAAAACAAATCCTTGACAGAGTTACCTTCTCTTTCGTACAGATGGGGGTAATGATGTGAAATAGCATTAAAAGTTTCAAAGCAATATCTCAAAGGGTTAAGGCAATAAGTGGATTTTACCCATATTCAATGTATTTTCTAAGTCAAAAAGGGGCATAATTCTGTCAAAAACCTTGACAGAGTTATGTCCTCTTGTCTGTTGATGAAGGTCGTGATGGTAAACAAGTATGGTCAGTTTCAAAGCAATACCTCCAATGGTTTTGAAATAAAGTGAGGTGGTACAAAAAACTTAACCAAGCTCAATACACTTTCTAAGTCAAAAAAGGGCCATAATTCTGTCAAAAACCTTGACAGAGTTATGTACTCTTGTCTGTAGATGGAGGTTATGATGGTGAACAAGTATGGTAAGTTTCAAAGCCATACTTGTAATACTTCTGAAATAAAGTGGGGTGGTACGAAAAACTTAACCAAGGTGTGACGCCGACGCCGGGGCGAGTAGGATAGCTCCCCTTTTCATAGAAAAGTCGAGCTAACAATGACAATAACCCTATAGGATAAAACAATAACATTAACCTGTAAAATGTTGTTTAAGAGACTCCAGGTAGTGTGATACTCTATCTCTAGCAGCTGTAGATACAATATTTGTTCCAGCCCTGTAATAAAAATAGATATTTCATGTATATACAACTATGTTTCTGATGCAGGTCCTCCCTATATTTAAACTTATCCTGCTCCATCATTCCTGGAAGATTCTAGATATTTAGTAATGACTTGCTATAATTTTAAGTTATTTACTTCTTATCTACAATTGAAACTCAACTACTCAATCTTGAGGACCCTGTTACCTATAGTATAGAATGTAACCACTGCTGACCAAGATCAGCCAATACTTTCTTACCATCTGGTCTGCAATGTTCACTATACTTCAATACATGTTTTGAAATTTAATCATTTTCCCTAAAAATAAAGAAAGGTTTAAGCACATTATTTCCAATTACTTAGGACAAAAAATAAATTATTATTAATTTTATTGAAGTGATTGCCAGTATATACCTTGAAAAGTCTGTGTCAGGTAGAAGCTTATTCATGGCCTGCAAGCGTCTGTGGAATCTATCAAGAGCTCTTACAAGAATTGTATTATCTCCAGTTTCTTTCTGTAAGATTGTAGCAACATGTAAATGGTAATTCATGATAAAAAAGAAAACAAATTGCATTCCAATAATTGTGAATAAAAATTAAATACAGTCATGCATTAAATTTGACACACAAATGTTTGCGAGACATTTAATAAAATGGAAATATACAGATTTATATAGTTCCTACAAATATTTGATTCTTTTTACATTATGATAAACAAATGTAACTTCTTTACCAAGTTTGATGTAGGAAGAAAGAGATCAAGAAAGCACAATTTATTTTAAAAAGTTTGAATTCTGAGAACAGTATGTGTACACATGTAATTACACCCAAAGCATTCATATAATCCAGTATTCCTTTATTGGTATTTGTCACTTCAAACCAAAACACTGCTCCTCTAAATAAATATCTTGTATAGACAATGACTAAAACATGACACAATCATTGTCTGTTGGAATCTGGAGTTGTAGCCAGATCCAAACTTATAACCTCATGGTTTAAAGTCTACAATCCCTTCTTCCTACCACCAATTACCATTATATCCATATATTAAATACATTAATAAATTATCTAATCTAATAATATAACATTTATTTACCTCTAACTGGACTCTCTCTTGTACACAATTAAAGTAGACCTCCATCAGTGTATGTACAAATGTTACAAGCTTTTTTGATGCTATGGCATCAAGCTCTTCACTGAAATAGATACAATGACATTAATTTTCAAGTACTCAATCATTAAACATAAAATAGTTTAAGAAAACATTTAAAGTAATGATACAATTTTACTCTAATTATGTTTTATATACTAAACTAGATAATAATGTTAAATGAATATTATATTTTGTTTGCTTAATTTTGAAATTTCCTTCACAAAACAGTATTTGAAACATTTTTTTCTGGCTCTTTGACTTAAAATAATATGATAATGTACTGTTATTTCAATGCACCATAGAATTTCTTTAGAAAATGGTGTCTAACAATACAATAAGCAATGATAAAACATTTCAAACAAATTCTACACCATGTCTGCAGGAATTTTACAAGAAGGTCAGACACAGCATACTAACCTATCTTGTTGTCTGTTTAAAAACATATCATTATAAGAAGCTATCACTAGGCACATGTTGCTAAGGAAACCATTACAGCCACAGTCAACAAACGCCAGAACATCCTAGAAACAAAAATATACCAGAAATTCTTTATGACAAAACATAAATGTCAAGAAATCTACAAGCAAAATTTTATACACAATTTACTTAAAAGAGATCATAAAATGGTACATGTATAGTATAAATACACTGTCAAAAGATTAAATTTCATGAACCTGACTAAATACAGTCTTGTTTAATATTTCCTACATCAGCAATAAACTTGAATATCCCTAGTGCATCATTAATATACAAATATTAATTGTTTTATCCGTAGTAATATCAATTTTTGATGGAATTTTAACAAATTCTTCAGATCTAATAGTGGTAATATTACATTGAAATACTAATTATTTTTCACCATAGAATTATCTAGATATGTTTGTGAAGCTCTCTCAGCCTCCTTCTGAGCTCCCTCCCCTTTCTGTAGACTGATCTGAAACTGGAGTTCCTCCAGATCACTGTCCAATTTTCTTCTTGCACTGAAATATAAAAGCTTAGAGATCAAAGTTTTGTACATCAAAATTACTATCAACTTATTACAGTAATGACTCTTAATTTTGCACTAATTCAGGCCAGAATTTGGATACAGAATGTTGGTTAATCTATTTAGATATCTCGCTGAAGTCTTGGACTAAGGAACACAATCATGGAGTCTTAAACAAGGCAGCAGTACTGTATGTACAAGCGAAACAAATTCATTGCTTCGGTTCTTGTGTATTTTCTAATACAATGTGTATTGTTATCAATCTTGTTGAGACATCCTTTTAAAAAGTAACCAATCACTTATATATTAAAGTAAAGTAAGATTATAAATGTAACATACTGTGCCAGAAATTCCTCACATAATTGTTCCGCTGGCTCATCTAGCTGTAACAAGAGATCTACACACTCGGCTAGTTGTTTTGGTGTGGACTGTCGAAAGAAATCAGATAAACAGATAACTCTTTTACAAGTCATTGCATAAAAAGTAAACTCAACAGTATAACTGAGCAAACCCAATTTATTTAATGTAATGCAGATTAGAAATCATAGTCATCTTTTGAATGTGACATTAAGTAGAAAATTTGATATCTGAAAACAACAATAAATATTTGGCAATTCTGGTTCAAATATCCTGTGTTTTTATAAAAAGATGTCACAAAAAATTAACTTCAGATTTTATTTATGACATTTTTTAACGTCTGAAATAAATCAGACTTTATTCTTAGACAGGGTTTTTCTTTATTAGTTGGGTCTTACATGGCGCCAATACAGTATAGGTCATATAGTAACTTTCAAGCTTTAAAGGTGGAGGAATATCACAGGTGCCCTTCCATGCATTATTTCAGGCACAAACAGGCACCTGAGTAGAACCCCTGATGTTCCAAAAGCAAGATAGCTTTCTCAAATGAAAAAATCCAAAGTCCTTGGCAGAATTCGAACCCACAGCAGTGAGGGTCAAGTGGTTTGAAAGACAGGGTTTTAACTATGTCTGAAGAAAGCTTGGTTATTTTTTCAAAGAAGGGAAAACAAGTATTTGTCATAAAGGCAAGTTAATGGAATTACCAAAATTTTTCCCATTTTTGTCCAGCCAGCTGGCCAATAGCATGTTGCAGTGTAAATTATGTTATATTATTTTCTTATGTTACATACTGTGCAACTTAAAGAAAAACCTTACTATATATACCTCTTTATCTCTGAACTGTTGTTTCAGGTGGCCTCTTAATTCTTTGATAATCTGACTACAATCAGAGTTAATACCTTGAAAACTTGGCATATGTTGGTACTGATGTAACACTCTCTGAGCCTTTGTGTAGTACCTGCCACATAATTAGGGTATTTTACTTGACATATTATAGCTGTAAGTCATTTTGTATTTGGTAAATTAATTCAGGTGAAGATCAGTTTTTTAGTACACCTTCAGTAAACAAAAGTTAATGTAAATACAATTCCTTTATTAGTTCTTATCTATTTGTTCAAAATCATTTCTGTATTCATTTAAATGCAAATATTTTTTCTATGTAAATCTTCAAAAGAAAGTAAAAAATACAACAAAACAAGCAATTATCATAGTATTGCAAGCAATCCATAAGTCCCCTACCGGTTAGAACCCCAGCAATATTCTGATGGGCCATTTGCCATTCAATTTTACCAGTGAATGAATGACATGAATGAACTTAAATCTTTTGAGTTCTAAGTTTGTCTATATCACAGTTATGTGTTAAGTTTCCATGCCTAGTAAGGAAATTATGTTTATACAACCTTGTCATATTATTACGATGTGGGATTTTAAAGTAAATCCTATAAGGAATAAAGAAGTTGGAGTGAAAATACCTGTTTCTCGAAAAAAATCTAAGTTCAAGGGGGACATAATTCTGGAAATAGTCTTGCTAGAGTATTTAACCTTCCCAAAAATGTTGAGTGATAATAAGAAACATATATATGAAGTTTGAAGTAGATACATTAGGAAATAAAGAAGTTATTTAAAAAAGACAACATTTTTTTCCCCTAAAAAATCTAAGTTCAAGGGAGGTAATACTGATAATTTTTGTGCTAGAGTTATAAACCTTGTCACATATGATGCGGTTGATGACCAGAAACTTATATTTAAAGTTTGAAGTAAACACCTTAAGAAATAAAGAACATATAGTGAAAAAGCTGAAAAATTTAAATCAGAAATCTTGAAATTCAGGCTATTTGTTGCCATAGCAACCAGAATTTTCAACATAGGAAGAAAAGAAAAAGATGTGCATAATCTCCAGACTGCCATCTACCCATATTTCAAGTTTCATAAAAATATTTTCAGTACTTTTTGAGTTATCACTGGATCCAGTTTATGTGTTAAATTTGCCATATTTTCAGACTATTTGTTGCCATAGCAACCAGAATTTTCAACATAGGAAGAAAAAAAAAAGACGTGCATAATCTCCATACTGCCATCTATCCATATATCAAGTTTCATAAAAATATTTTCAGTACTTTTTACGTTATCGCGGGATCCAGTTTTGTGGACGGACGGACTGACAGACAGACAGACGGACGGAGGGTAAACCTAAAGTCCCCTCCGGTTAAACCGGTAGGGGACTAATAATCAGATATATTTATTATGTGACAGTATGTAATTACCTGACAGCTTGACTGTATGCCTTCATTTCAATACATTTCTTGAGACGTGCCGGTAGCTCAAACAGAAACTGTAGCTGTATCGAGAAAAAACATTTATTTAACCTTTAACCTGTCAACTTGTGGCAACTGGAATCACCCATGCAACCAGTGCGAATCAAGATCAGTCAGTATGTCCCTGCCATCTGATTATGGTCTGCACTGTTCGCTAATTTCCCTAAACATGTCATTTGGTTATGACTAGACTGGAAGATGGACATGTCCATTTAAGATATTAAGCATGATAATGGTTAAAAGGATGTATAACTTGTTTTATTCAAGTACTAATTTGGAGGTAATTCTTTCAGTATCATTGTTCTGAAAACTATATAACATCAAAACAAAATGTTCTCACAGAATATATTATCAAACAACATTTATGTGTATTCATGTTTTTATCTGATTTAGATTGAACAGATTTTTATCTTACCTTCTTTAATAATGAATGCACTCCTGATAATTTTGTTATATGCTGTCTGCGGTCTTGTAAAGTATGAGAAATATTACCGCTAAATTCGGTGATGCGTGACATATTGGTAGCAAGATGATCCATTTCGTCCTCCATCTTACGAAAATCATTCTTCATCTGAAAATTATACAACATATTGTATATGTTTTACTTTACACTGCACACATACATTATATACAATGTATACACCATGGGATTTTCAGTGTCAATGTTTTAATTTAATTGCAACAATCCACAAATTTAACAACAAGCTTAAAAAGATACAAATTTTACTTTAATATATAATTATTACATTTATGGGTAAACTGGTATAAGTCACATAAGTTTTTAAGCCACTAATAATTTCTTGAATCAATTTCATCATATCTTATCTGCTTTACTATCATCAAGGTAGTAAATTTCATGCAAAGAAATGGTACAAATATCCTTCAATTATATAATTAAATTAATTATGTCTGAGAATTTCATTAGTCAACTAATACCAAAAGGCAACTCTGACTTGCAACATCAGTAGTCAAAGTTGAAATATCATCTTGATGTCGTAACTGTACACCGCTTCCATTGCACATACCAATTAAAGATGTTTACTATGGGATACCCACTGGACCTATCATATCCAAATTTAACAGATACATAGAAAAATGCTGATATATAACTACTATGTATATTTGATCTTATTATCTTACAAACAAAATTAATGTAATGAAAGTCCACATATTTTTTTATCCACCCTTTTACAATGACTTACTTTCCTGATTGTATCTGTTGCACTGATAAACTTGTTATAATTTTCATACACCAGTGTCTGCATATCACTATCTAGAGACCGAATCTGCTTCAGCATTTCTGACTCTTTGTCCATCAGCTCTGTTAAGGACTTTTCTCGTATGAGTTTGCCCAGGAACATGTCAGGTTTGAAATGAGCACCATCAATATCACATGGATCAAGGGATGCCCCACCCGCTTTATCCTCGTCCAGGCCATAATACATCTTTAACATTCCATGCCGCTTTCTCCTCTCCGCCTCATCAGCTATGAGAAAAAAATTTACAAATGAGGATATATCAAAATACCTGATGGCATCTTCTACTAGTAAAGCTAAAATGTTGCAATTATTATGCACAACCTTCATGTAATTCATTATTTTCTGCATAACCAAAGGTACAGTACTTGTAAAGTTAATGTTATTCAAAAAACCTTTTATTTCCTTAATAAGAACATAAATAATAGTAGTTGTTCATAGATTCATTAAGCACTGCCATTAATTGTATGGAGTAAAAGCTCTTGATGAGTTGCCTTTAGAATTTATCAGTAAAATCCAGTTGATAATTAAGCGGAGCAGACCTTTTATATATTTTAGGTAGTTTTATTCATTTTTCTCCTAAAAATTGTCAATATAAATTATTGGTCAATGAGTATTTATAATAGTTAACCTTTTGAAATATGAAGAAAATTCATGACAAAAAATGTCACTTTGAGATATTTATTTTCTACATAGTATAATGGTAGCTTGAAATGTAAAAACAAAACTGTTAATAGCTTAGATGCTGTTTTAGAAAAATTAATCTGTTATTTTTCAATTAAATCATAAAATTTATAAATTAGATACTTTTTAAAACATCCTTATTCTATGTTGTGATTATGATTGAAATATATATCTACATTGTATTTGCAATGTTTGCACTTGTAGATATGAAAATATGTCCTAAATCATTCATATAATTGCGAGTGCAAAATGTTGACCATGTAGAGAAATACGCTAGATGGCAAGTTATACAGTCATGTAAACCTTAAATGATAAATCATAATTATATAGTAAATGGCTGCTGTATATTAGCATGGATCTCTGTATATCCACACACTTAACTTTTGCTATATGTCTGCATTGAGTTAAATGGTGAACTTAAATATTCAATATACATTTAAATTTTGTCTGATGCAAACAAATTTACCATAAATTTGACAAAGGTTCATTTTTGACTTTCATATTATTTTGAAAAGTGCTGTATGGCTAGACAATACAGTGTGTCCTGGCTAGCTGTATGTGACTCATGTACGACTAGAACTTTTGGCTAGCCATACGGCCCATACAGCTAGCCAATTCCTTTAACATTACAGAAATTAATTAGGGACATTAGGGTACACTTTTAGTGATGTTTACAAATTTAAGAAAGGTAACAAGCAAATGCACCAGATTAAAAATCGGTTATAATTAGTGCTTCAATTCAGTGTTTCAGTTAAGTTGATGTAACTATCAATAAAAATATTTAGTTAATTGATATTGATTTATTGATATTATAAACTAGTTATTATGTGTACCTATCCGAATACTTCTCACTTATCCCTAGACTCAAAGTAAACTCTCGGTAGGACTAACATGATTGCCTATATCTTATAACAATAGGTGACAAAGGAAAATATTTAATGCCAACATTTGTTTAAAAAGGCATAGGAGAATAACGTTAAAAAGAATAAAATAATGAAACATACTGTCATTTTTTTCTGCACTGTCAGCCATGCTTGATTAGAATCGTGAAATATTGACCGATTGCAAAGCAACAGTTCTAAAAATTTAATCGAACAAAATAACGTTACTATTTTTTCCCCAATTTAAAATACATTTGTATTCGCAGAACAAGTCAATTACAGTCTTCCTATTAATGATAAAATCTATAAGTGTATAATGTTTTAATCATTTGTTTAATATATTCCCATAGGAGACATAATACATTATTTCCATATTGGGACTGTTGAATACATCTATGGTACATGACCCTTCCAATTTAAATCATTAGATCAAAAGATATAAGACAATATCCGAATGATTGTTTCATTTATGACTGTTCTGTACAATACCACATTGACTTACACAGTTCAACGGGAACTCATATAAGATTTGCGTGTTGGTTAAACCAACATGTTTATCCAATATAAAGCGTTTATCCAAAATATGTTTTTCCCGCTGTGAACAAGCCAAATATATAAAAAGTAATTGCATTTTATAGTCTAAGTTTCATGCTTACGCACGTTCACCGACTTTACAGCTATTACCCCTGGTCATCGGGCTACTGGTATCTATCTATCAATCTCCCTGGGGAGTCTTTTATCTCCGCTTAGTGCAGCCGACACTTTGGCGCAACGGAATTGTACCACCCTCGCAGGTACCCATTTACACCTGGGTGAAGTGAAGCAATCGCAGGTAAATTTCTTGCTCAAGGAAATTAGCAGTGCCCCTGGTGGGGTTCGAACCCGGGACCTCTCGATCCCTAAGCGCGCGTCCTATCCCCCTATTGTACACTTCCATGGTTCAAATAACCTGTAAATATTGTTAGACCAAAGTTTATTACAGAGAGTATTCTTTTTTAATTAAAAATCAACTATCATAATGCTAAGTATTTGCAAAGGTTGACATAAAAAAGAACCGTTTGGCTGATCATCAACTGGAACATCAAGAAGTTTTCATATTATCAATATTAACCCATGGGAATTCAACTTATATCTTTGCTGCAGATTGTGTCAAACAAGTTTTATAAAGAGTTATTCTTTCAAGCTTTTTAGGGGTTGGGTCTTACATCATATGGCAACTGTCCAGCTGTACTAGTTGTCAAAGACCTCAGATGCCCCTCTGTGCAATATTCAGGCACAAGCAGGCACCAAAGTGGAACAGAGGTTTCATAAGCTAGCTGAATAGTTTCCTTACATGGTAGAATCCAAAGCCCCTGGCAGGATTCAAATCCACAGAGATGAGGGGCAAGAAGTTTGAAGTCAACAACTTTAACCACTCCACCATGGATGCCTCTTACAAGCAAATTATGCCAATTAGTAGTATACTATTTTCATGGGGTTTTAAGTTGCCCCATCACTGTAAAGGTCATGTGACCACTTTCCAGCTTTACAGGTGGAGGAAGTTGTCCCTCTGTGCATTAGTTTAGGCACAATCAGGCACCCAAGTAGAACCACTTACATTGTCTAAGATAGCCAGATAGCTTTATCCAAACTCACAGGCAGAATTCAAACCCACAGCAATGAGGGACAAAAACAAACGCATGTCAAGAGACCTTAATTACTCAGCCATAGATGCCCTGTATTGTATTTCATGGATATAGGTTTAAAAAGTCCTGTATAGCTACAGTCTGTTATGTATTCTATATAGAATAGGCTCACTTGACAATGTCCAATTTCAAAGCAAATTGTAGATAACCAGACATGTATTTTTCACAACAGTTATTACTGTGTAATGGAAACAGCACTGAACCCAGGCAAAATTACCTATTATCTATATTGAATGGTGCAAGCGTGTTTTTATAAGTCATACATGTTAAATATTCTATTTATTCGGGGTCAAGATAACATAACACTGTACCATTGTTTTATAATTTAATAAGCAGTTTCATAACAAAACAGGATAAAAATGATCAGTACAATCATTTAACATGCCACAATAAATCAATCATGTATAAAAACACTTCCGAATAAACAATACTTAATTGCTTATATGTTATAATATAACAAAATTAGAAGCATAGCATTAATTTTGAAAAATAAAATGAATTCACAAGGAGAATTGACCTAAAACCATAATTTAGCACTTAAGTCCGTTGGCAGAAACTGATTTTATCTATGCCACAAGTGCAGATCATGATCAAACGGACATTTTACACTTAATATGAAATTATCAATGAAAATGATAACAGGTTTTGTCCTAATTGAAAGATGGACAAGTCCATTTAAGATATTTAGCGAGGGTATGGTTAAATGTAATTAGATATAAGTAATTTGATGACAAATTTATAAAATCAATACACCAATAATGAAAAATGTTCACAAGGACATTTCTTAACTGTAAAGGATGTTAAGTTAGTGACACGGACATATTGGCGAATTTCGTGAATTAACGAAAATCATATTTCTTTTAGCGTAAATATCAATCAACCTGTCTGAATTCTACCCTTGCACTATTCACTGATATTTCCTCATGTGAAATGTCTTGAAATTTTAATCTGCTAACTTCTCAACAAGTTGAAATATCCACATATAAAGTATTGCCTATCCTTTATACAGACTGGATATTTAATTTGATTTTCATATAATAATTTTCACTATAATTATTACATAAAAAATAATAAGCTACAAACAACTGATCGAAAAAAATGAGTGTAAAGCCTCAAAAGTTTTTTTTTATCATTCATCAACATTTCAATGCAAATGTGTTTAGTGACATAATCCAGGTTTCATAAATGTGTTTACAACAAAAGGCAAAATACAGAAATAAATCTGCCAAACTTATAAAATTTTGGCAATGATTTTAATGTCATTAACAGTAAGACATATTAAACAATTAATTTACTATATACAATCATATTGCACTAAGATTCATTAACAATAACAGAGCAAGCACTCCAAAACCTGTTGGTTTTCTATGAGAAAAAACGACAGCACTTAACAATGTTCCTCTCTTTGATGGCCTGTAGGAAACTGGAAGGGTCAAAATTAGATAAAATCCTTGACCTTAATTTCTTGTTATCAAGAATTTGAAAGCTGCTGTAGGGATAATAATTCAAAGAAAATAAGAAAGAGGTGAAATTATATGCTTATATCTAGCTTTACTCACAAAAACTAGAACTCCGCGAGTCGGATGTGTCGCCTTGTGAACAATGTAGTTTAGGAGAAATGGCCAGGACAAAAATGAAATATGAAAAATAACAAAGGGCAATAACTAAAAAAATAATAAGTGCAGAGCAGCAGTTTCTGTGCACTGCACTTCTTATCAATAAGATCTATCATTCTATGATGTTTCAAGTCCATAGCTTTCATACTTGAGGAGAAATGACCAGGACAAAAATAAAGTAAGAAAATCAACAAAGGGCAATAACTCAAAAATAAGAAATGCAGAGTATCAATTCTTATGCACTGCACTTTTTCTTAATGAGATCTATCATCCTATGAAGTTTCAAGTCCATAACTTTTATACTTTCAGAGAAATGGCCTGGACAAAAATTAAGTATGAAAATTAACAAAGGGCCATAACTCAAAAATTAAGAAATGCAGAGTACCGGTTCTTGTGCACTGCACTTTTTCTTAATGAGATCTATCATCCTATGAAGTTTCAAGTCATTAGCTTTTATACTTAAGGAGAAATGGCCCGGACAAAATTAAAGTATGAAAATAAACAAAGGGCAATAACTCAAAAAATAAGAAATGCAGAGTACCTGTTCTTGTGCACTGCACTTCTTCTTAATGAGACCCATCATCCTATGAAGTTTCAAGTCCATAACTTTTATACTTTCAGAGAAATGGCCTGGACAAAAATTAAGTATGAAAATTAACAAAGGGCAATAACTAAAAAATTAGGAAGTGCAGAGTACCGGTTCTTGTGCACTGCACTTCTTCTTAATGAGATCTATCATCCTATGAAGTTTCAAGTCCATAGCTTTTTTAGTTGAAGAGAAATGGCCCGGACAAAATTAAAGTATGAAAATTAACAAAGGGCAATAACTCAAAAAATAAGAACTGCAGAGTACCGGTCCTTGTGCACTGCACTTCAGGTTATTGAAAGAAGCATGCATACCAAGTTTGAAGTCAATCAGACTTATAGTGACTGAGTTATGCTCCGGACAAGCTTTAGGGGACGCCGACGACGACGCCGACAACGACGCCGACACAGACGCCGCCGACGAAAGTAACCCCTATATGTCACCTTTTCAAGGCGACACAATAAAAAATATTATGTATATTTTTTATATATTAATATAAATATTAATATAAATTAATAGTTTTATCTATTCATGATTACCAGAGAGGTAATATTGTCACATCTGTTTTACTTAACATTTCATGTCAACTATTAACATCAGTTTTTCTATAAATTATAAAGTCTGACACACATTGTCTAATGCATGACTCACATATAATGCATTCACTAACATATCAAATTTAGGAGTATTTTACTAATTAGGTTACAAATAAAACAAAATGCATATGGCACCAAACTGAACTAAAAATACCTTGCATAGAATAAATCAAGCTTATAATTAGTAAGTAAATAAAATAGTTGTTATACATATCTCAGTATTTAACACAAATGTATATTTATATATCACATTACAATCATATATCTATATCTATCACTTTTCAACAAGTCTTATCTAAATTAACATTTAATTTTTTTCAGCATATTTAATGATGTAATTCACATTTGTTCTATTCAAATCTCTTTAAAGTTGTGTTGAAAAGCTAGATTTACTTCATTACATCTCTGATGTCAGTGTTCAAAATTTCCACTTTTTTATTTCATTTTTGATGGCTTTTTATAACACACCAACAATGTAATTGTCACAGTAACTTTCCATTTTTTTACTGATGAAGGGACACCTCAGATGCCCCTCTGTATATTATCATAGGCACACGCAGACACGAGAGTAGAACCACTGACCTTACAAAAGGACATTTGATGTATCATAAATTGAAAAACTTTTTGTGAACAAATCTCTAGAAATGATAATTGGACAACAACATGTCAAGGTGTAAGATACTTATTTGTATTATATAAACTAGACATTGTTCTCAAAATTAAAACATCAGTTAAACAGAAATATTTTTGTTCTCTTATCAACATCATTCCTTAAGGTCATGAAAAATGATGAAAAATACAAACAAACTGAGGAAACATTGCAAAATCTTTGCTCTTTATAATATTTCTTACATGTTAGTGTAATACAAATACATGTAATGCCGTATAAAACTAACTAAAGGAATGGTCAAGAAATAACCAAGCAGGTTTGATATATTTGGTGGGAATATATTAATGCCAATTACACGAATAATCTTAATATTACATATATCTTAAATAATGTGACTAGGGATTGAGATAAAACTGGTGAATGTATACAGGAAATATAATATTTTATACAGCTATTTTAAACAGTTGAATACTTTCATGGTAACATTTTCATAGTTTTGTTATTAATTCAACTGTATTAAATTACAAAAGTGACACAAGTTGCCATTATTGTTCAAACATTACGATTACACACTGCTCCCTTAAAGAAACAAAACATGCATTTTTCAAAAACAGGAAATTAATTATAATGAATTAATTAATGGTTTGTTTTTCTTTATCAATGTAGATAAAAAATATATCACATTCTTAGTTTCCTCAATACTATTAACCACTATCTTATCAACCCTTAATAATGTACAGCAAAACTAAATAAATAACATTATCTCTGCATGAACATACCTTATAATGCATATCATTGTTGCAGATTCATATGCTTATAGACACATCATAAAAATTCCCTTATGAATACATAAACATTGTATTCTCTAGCTAATCCTTTATATTTCATTGTTTTGCATTGAGATATGTTAAATATAATGTAAATTTAAGTGAAAAGAAATGAAAATTTTTAAATCGGATTTTGACCAAAATGAAAACACTTTTTTAAAACTGAATATCGGCCAACAACCCACATCGCATTATTTCTTCCTTTTTTGTCTTTTGGATTTAAATTATAGGTTTGGGGACCTCAGTGGAATTCCTTCAAGCTTCCAGAGTCTGTAAAAAATTTTTAATCGCAGCAGAATGATAGCTTAATTTCAGCAAAGAATGTTTCAGCACTCTAGAGATGGAATAATTGTGTAATATTTGTTTGTGAACACAACATGTAAATAAACAAATGATTATGTTATGGTCTTCATAAACATGATCTAAACATAATTTATCTAGCAAGTTACTGTATAAAACTTCTCACTGCAAGCTGCATTACCAAAACACACTTCAAACTGTAAGCCAGATTTAACAAGATTGACCAAAGTTTTTGCTTGAAACACAGATGGTCTGAGGTTTAAAATGATGAAAACGAAATGTCCAAGTCACATGGATTATATGGGAAGTTAGGTACAACTTAAGTAGTTATGACAACTGGGTAAGAGCTATATATCTGTTTAGATAATGTCTCTTGATATCACATTTTTGGCCCCTTTGCCATGACATTCATCTTCTTCATAGACACAACAATATATGTACTGGTAGTTGTACAGACAAACACCTATATGACAGGCCAATGTTTACACACTATAGCCCAATAATCTCATTGTCTCCTATAGTTATCACAATACTATTATCACTCTCAGCTGTGCCCAGCTGCCTGGGTTTGTCCATTTACAAGTCCTTTTAATTGTTTTAAAACAGTTTCTTGAAGTTTCTTCTTCTCTCTCTCATTCTTCTTTAATGATACAAACACTTTCGTTTTCTTCTTCTCAGAATTACTCAATCTGCAAACAAATTTTACCAAACATTAAATAACACTTTTTGCTATTGTTTAACATTGAAATAGCTTTTGAAATCAATATTGTAAATATAAACTTTTCATGTAACCTATAATGACGAAAACACATGCACAGGTCCATGCTCTACATTTCTTTGCAAATCTATGGCCAGCAATTACAGTCATTTTTAATGAATATTGTATAAACAGGCAGACTGTATAGATATGTCACAAGTGAATTCTCCAGTCTATCAGCACTTTGATTATTCATGTAAGTGCTGAACGAATTCCAAAAAGTATAATACTTACTTCTCCATGATACTGATTGCAACATGAGGTTGTACACGGCTATACTTGGCCGACGGTTTGTTATAATCATTAAGATATGTTGACCATTCTTCCTTTATAAACAGGTCCATAACCTAAAATATATTACACAAAACAATTTATTATACTGTAAATCAGGTTGCTATACAGACAGTTCCCAATTTTTACAATATTTACCTCCCTTGCCGACTAGCCAGCCATATTGGGGGTCAAAATTCTATACAGCAGTAATTACTTGACAAAATATGAAAAATTCAATACAGTCATTAAATTTAGCACTGGCCTGGTGGCCCATGGCCAGTGAAAATTAGTTTGGGCTAGTGTAAAATGAGTACGGGCTAGTGTAAATTTTAAGAAAATTTATTTAAATATGTAGTAGAATAAATTCAAAACTGGAATTCAATGACTGTCCATATAAACAGCCGAATTACGTGAATTGTCAAACTTTTTATACATCTACAGCAAAATTTAATACCACCAATATGTTCAAGATTATTATCTGTTTTCATTACAATGAGAGATCTCTAAATTATCTTGAGCATAATTATATTATATATTGGGAATGACCCCACAAAATGGCAGCCAGGGGAGGTAATAATTACTTTGTAATAAGCAACACCTCTAAATATCTCTCACTGTAAACAACTTTCCAGCTCTTGCAGTAACGAAACAAAACAAAATAGAATTTCATCAAAGAATAGTAATCTCATCTATAAATATGTTTCTTACCATACATAAATAAGTCTAGAGTTCTGCCCTTTTAAATACATTATAGTTCTACAAGAACCAGACACAAACAAGGCATAAGCTTACATTAGAGCAAGAGTAATCTAACTCAAACGCCTATTAACTTTTACAATATTATATCTCTCAAGTTAAATGTTACAATTCATCATATTTTATCATATGTCATATGTAACAAAAATACTTACATATAGAATACTAGTGGTTGATACCATTTTTGCTACTTATTAAGTAACATACATACACAAAAAGCAATTCTTTTCAGCTTTTAGGTATTACACGATTTTGAGATTTTGTTTTTATAACGCTTGGCAGTTTCATTATACTACAATGACAAGAATATAATGAAAATTGTATGTAAACAGTTTACCTGTCTAAGATCAGCAAATGCCATTTGTAAAGTACCATCATTAAATCCTGGTACAGGTTCTGATGCTGCAAAGTCTGTAAATACAGTAACAACTATATAACAAACATGATAATTATCATCATTATTTAATCATTATGAATTTATTACTTCATTTTAGTTTGGTTGGGATTTATGTTGCATCACAAAGAACTGATCATATGGCAATTTTCCAGCTTTACTGTCAGTACATTATTTCAGACACAAAGGGGCACTAGAGTAGAACCCCAGACGTTCCATAAGCTAGCTGGATAGCTTTCTAACATGGAGGATATGACGATGCTTGCATGATAAGAAGTTACAGTGGTGAGAGGCAAGTGAGGTCTGGGAAAATATTTTCACTGAACAGGGAAGTATTCATCATAGAAGCATGCAGACCACTTCTCTCTTTGTTTATGAAAATTCCATTTTCTCTAGAACTATTATAGTTATTTATAGTTGCAACTGGAGAAACATACGGCTAATCACTCGTGTAGTTTAGATCAACAGATATGTATTAAAGTATACCGTTCCAGGGGAAATAACTGGCTCCTTTAAAAGACCATTACACAGGATCTCATTTTGTTTTGTCCCAATCTTAAGATTAGTTTGTAGTTGGAGCAACAATCAAAACTTAGGACTCCAAAATTTGTAGTCAATACAGTGTTATGAAGGGACCGCTACTTAAGTTTTTTGCCATTCTTATGTATACATCAAATAAATTTATATATGCCACTGGACCACTACTCAAGTAATTACCTAATAAATGCCATTATCCATGGTACTTACTTTCACACTCGGTTACATCACGGTTAAACTGTTGTAGTGCATATGGTGTCATCAACTGTACGTTATTATCTAGCAGGAAATCCATCAAACTTTGAGCAATATGTTTACATGCTGACATACATGCAGTCTTTGCCACCTTCTCCTGAAATATTATCCAAAATAAACTTCATTTAGAACACAATTACAATGCATCATTATTTCTATGTCAAGAAATGACTGAAAGAAAGATTATAGATCAATTTAAAGGAGACTGTTCATTCATTTTTGTGAAAACTGAGCAATACATTGTTACTTCAAATAATTTAATTTCAAAATGTTTCACATAATTTTAGTAACCAACACTAAGGATTACACTCAGAATAGTTACACTGATGTACAGGATAGCCCACCACTACACTAGAAGTGCCTACTATCTATTATACAGCCAGATCTTAGATGGCTGTAATTATAATTCAATTCATACTTGGCTAAAGCCTATAAAAAATTTAATACTAGCATTTCATTAAAATATTCTTTCATAACAAGGAGATATATTTAGGGCAAAACTATTACAAATCTTTTTGAACAGAATCATTTTCATGCACTTGATATCGATTGTGTGAAGCCTTCAAATGCTTTTAAAGAATCATTCATAAGTCAAAAGTCAATAATACTTGTCTTTAATAAAATATTATATATGCAAAGTATTAACAATGCTGAAATTTCAAACTATATGTACAAAATGATAAAAAATTCAACTGTAACCAAACATAAAAGCCAATGTTTATTTTCTAAATATGCAACAACATTTCATCAATTTCAAAAATGCAAATTCATTCAAAACTGCATCTAACTCCAACAATGTATTTGTAAGCCATTTTTCTATTCATAACAAGAATCAATGTAATAAAATATGATAATAAGCTCATGTTGTTTTTCCTCTTAAATCAAACCAGTTTTAAGTTTGTGAAGATCTTCATGTCAAACTTGTAGCTTTACTAGCCTTAGAACACCTTACATGCCCCTCTATGCATTACTTCTGTCACAAGCTTGCAATTGAGTAGAACCACCATCCTAGAATCTGAATAACTTCCACATATCAAAGACTTAAATATACTTGGTAGGATAAACTCCCATCACTCTTAGTGGATCTGATCTTTACTCGGACAATAAGGAGTATAAAATGTGTAGATATGAATAGAAATGGCAGTGTCTGTGCTGCTGCAGGACAGGAGGCTTACAATAGAAGGAGAATAAAAATATTGGGTAGAGATACTATAGCTTTTTCTTTCATGGTAGAGGAAAATCAATTAAGATGGGGGAGGGGTCGATGTGTAGAATTGTATAAAAAATAGTGTGGCCTATACTGACATGCTTGTGTATAAATTTCTTTTAATATATGACAAGTTAAGCTTTGTGGAATACCATCTGTGTTAACAGAATGCAAGATAAATGTCTTTATAAACTTTGATACATATCTTTCTCTCTCTCTATCAAACAATAACATGAAAGCCGACAGATATTAACAAACTGAATTCTTGTGTTCTTGTATTTTTTTTGCAGCATGCAAAACAAAAAAAAAACAGTGTAGGTTATCAAAACAACATTTTATTACAGTTCAATTTTCATCTCTCAAAAACAAATCTAACAACTAGTTTTCAAATATGCACATAACCATCAATACGCTTAAAACAAAGTTTAAATTTTAAGCATGTTTATTCAACAAAGATTTTGTGGATTTGGGGGATTTAATTCACATGCATTTGAATATGATATGGCTGCTATAAAGAAACAAACATTATGCAAGCTATCTACTAAAATCATAACCAGGAATGCTTTATTCTCACCGGTACACACATCACCATAGCCTAATAAAATCATTATGTACATTTCTTACAATATTTAACACTGACTTTATTAAAAAAAACATTCTTATAGTTATCATTGGAGCCAAAAGGCTAAATTTCACATAAAAGTTGTAAACCAGTCATCATTGAAGCATAACTATTGGCCGATTTTGAAATTAACAGCCAATGAAAAGTTGTATTCAGGAACAAACCAATCAGATGCTTTGTGTGATTAGACTGGTTTACAAAAATTTCATCACATAAATAAACAACAAATGGCAGACAGTTGACACATCAGCCAACACAAAAACTAGCAAATCAATATTTGATTATAGTAAAGTTGTATAACTTATAATTCATAACTTGTTATCTTCAAGACTTACACATAAATACAATATTTAAATACTAAATAAAAGGAAACAAAGTAAATGATTTCAATAAAACAGGTAAAAATTCTATTCCTGAGTAAAACAAAATAAAACAATCACAGATGAACAATAAATTTAGAATATAACAATAAAGGGGAAATTCACATTTAAGGTATTTACAGAACAAAATCACTGGACAGGAAGGGTTTTTTTGTTTGTGACAGGATGTGCACTTTGCATGTATAATGTGTGTTGCAGTTTCTGAAAGGATCTTATATAAAAGCTCTGCAATGTTTTGTAGGATAGTTTACTCTTATAGAACAGGTAGATTGAACAAACCTTCTTGTTTGTAGCATTCTGAAGTATTTGAATCATTTTATATAATGAAATAGAACAAAACAACATTTGGGTTTCATAACCCCTCACTTTGAAAATATAATATATCCTTAAGAAATTTCCATTAGATATCACTGTTAAACTTCCTTTAAACAATGTATATGTACATGACGAGTTCTGTATTTGAGACACAGCAATGAAATTGTAGAGCTGATTGCATCTGATTTTTCACATAAACATTTTGCGTGTGTGTTGGATTTTACATCTCACCAACACAGTATAGGTCATTGGGATTTTTTCCAGCTTTTCTGGTGGCAAAAGACCGCAGTTGAATGGAACCACAGACATCCCATAAGCTAGCTGGATAGCTTCCTCACATGAAAGAACCCGAAGTCCCAAGCTGGATTTGAACCCACAGTGGTAAAGCAGAAGGGCAAGTGGTTTGAAGTCAATAACCTTAACAATTAGCCACGGACAACCAACCACAAAATCAAAAAAATTTCAATTAATATTTATACATTGGCAATCGATCTTAATCAAATATTTTGTATAATCTGAATATGTTTTCAATACTCTAGCAGTGTACTAACACTTTAAAACTTCAGTGATATACCACAATCACAATAATTGTAGTTTAAGATAATAAACTAATGTAAATTAATCTGAGCCGTGCCAAAACAAAATGAACATAGTGCGTTTGCGACCAGCATGGATCCAGACCAGCCTGCACATCCGCACAGTCTGATCAGGATCCATGCTGTTCGCTTACAAACCCTATTACAAGTAGAGAAACTGATAGCGAACAGCATGGATCCTGATCACACTGCACGGATGCACAGGCTGGTCTGGATCTGTGCTGGTCGCAAACGCATTATGTTGGTTTTATTGTGACGCGGCTCATTTGTCTTTAAACTTGAGAAAAAAAGTAAATCCATTGTCTCAAACAACACTTGCATCCGTCCAAAATGCCAGAAACATCACTACAAATATATCCAACTCACAAATTTTTTTTAGGGAAAAGTTTCACAACTTTCAGCATTTATTTCTAAACTTAATAATAACAACTGTACAATGTACAAAATTATGGGACAAGGTGTACAGTCAATAAAGAAGCTTCAACAGCAGACCATCCATAACTGCTAGAATTCAAAAACTTATGTTTTTTTTTTTCTCAAACTGTGAAGTCATTAATAGGTCAACTTTGTATTTGTTATGTTTATAGAATAATGTAACAGCTAAGGTTAACATTGTCAGCAGGGACACAGACATATAAATCAAAATACTATACCCACATCTTTATATCAATGCTGGCACATACATGTATGTTTACTTTAACAAAAATATCAAATTTAATTTGTCATTAAACTATGACATTACTATCACAGACACACACTGAAAAGTATGAAACATCAAACAAAATGGTGGTAAAATACTTTAAAGCTATAATATACATGAATTGCTGAGATTTTACGATATATGGTACAATTTTTATAAAATTTCACTTTAATGAAAATTGTCTTAGAATGTAACTATTTTTCCAGTCTTCAATAAACAAGAGGGCCATGATGGCCCTGAGGTCGCTCACCTGTATATAGCCCCCCCGGGCCAATTTTTACCCAAGGGCTTTTATTTGTTTATTTGAACAGACTTGGTAGACACCCATAAGAAGATGTTTCATGCTAAACATCTAAGTTCTAGCTCATTGGGTTTTTTAAAAGAAGATTTTTTAAGTTTTTACTATACACATATAGTTAAAAACAAACACCCCTGGGGCAGCGCCAGTTTTGACCCCCGGGCTTTAATTTGTAGATATTTACTTATAGATGTTTCATGCTTAATATCTAAACTAAAGCTATTTGGGTTTTTTCAAAGAAGATTTTTAAGTTTTTGCTATACACATATAAGGAAAATCAATGACCCCCGGGGCGGGGCCAGTTTTGACCCCAGGGCTTTTATTTGAACATACTTGGTAGACACCCATTAGAACATGTTTCATGCTAAATATCTTAGCTCTAGCTCTTTGGGTTCTTTAAAAGAAGATTTTTTAAGTTTTTACTATATGCATATAGGGAAAATCAATGACCCCCTGGGGCGGGGCCAATTTTGACCCCAGGGCTTTTATTTGAACAAACTTGGTAGACATTCACAAGAAGATGTTTCATGCCAAATATCTAAGCTCTAGCTCTTACAGTTCTTTAAAAGAAGATTTTTTAAGTTTTTACTATATGCATATAGGGAAAATCAATGACCCCCTGGGGCGGGGCCAATTTTGACCCCAGGGCTTTTATTTGAACAAACTTGGTAGACACTCACTAGAAGATGTTTCATGGCAAATATCTTAGCTCTAGCTCTTTGGGTTCTTTAAAAGAAGATTTTTTAAGTTTTTACTATATGCATATAGGGAAAATCTATGACCCCCTGGGGCAGGGCCAATTTTGACCCCAGGGCTTTTATTTGAACAAACTTGGTAGACACTCATTAGAAGATGTTTCATGCTAAATATCTTAGCTCTAGATCTTTGGGTTCTTTAAAAGAAGATTTTTTAAGTTTTTACTATATGCATATAGGGAAAATCAATGACCCCCTGGGGCGGGGCCAATTTTGACCCCAGGACTTTTATTTGAACAAACTTGGTAGACATTCACTAGAAGATGTTTCATGTTAAATATCTAAGCTCTAGCTCTTACAGTTCTTTAAAAGAAGATTTTTTAAGTTTTTACTATATGCATATAGGGAAAATCAATTGACCCCCCTGGGCGGGGCCAATTTTGACCCCAGGGCTTTTATTTGAACAAACTTGGTAGACACTCTTTAGAAGATGTTTCATGCCAAATATCTAAGCTCTAGCTCTTACAGTTCTTTAAAAGAAGATATTTAAAGATTTTTCTTTCGGTTGCCATAGCAACCAGAGTTCTGCATGGAATTAAATTCTTTAAACAATTTTTAAAGGTGACCACCAAAGGAACATTCTTGTGAAGTTTGGATGAAATTGGCTCAGTGGTTTATGAGGAGATGTCATTTAAAGCAAAAGTTTACGGACGGACGGACGCCGGACGGACGGACGCCGGACGAAAAGCGATCACAAAAGCTCACCCTGTCACTTTGTGACAGGTGAGCTAAAAACATTTTATTTATCTCTAGAAAAAAAGTGGACATAACCCCTCTCAATGAGACACTGTCTCTAGCTTTTGTATGATTACTTTTCTGGACTCAAACCCTGGTCCTGCCACTTTATCAGCTGGCTTCCTGGACAATGCAACCTCAACTTTTCTACTACTGATTTATACTGGCATACTCCCTCAATTTATCAAAACTTATCCTCTAATTCTTAACTCTTACCCTGCTAGAACTTAGTTTATATGTTTGTTTAATTGGGTTTTATATCACACCAACACATTAAAGGTCATATGGCGACGTTCCAGCTTTACTGGTGGAGCAAGACCTCAGGTGCCCTTCTGTGCATTATTTCAGGCATGAACAGGCACTTGAGTAAAACCACCAACGTTCTGCAAGCTAGCTGGATAGCTTCCTCACATGAAAGAATCCAAAGTCCCTGTCGAGATTCGAACCCACAGCAGTAAGGGGCAAGTGGTTTGAACGACCTTAACCACTTGGGTACGGACGCCCCTGTTAGAACTTAGTGATTAGCCTTTGCCACAAGTATAGATCTAGGCTGGCCTGAAAAAAAACCTGTGCAGTCTTACCGACCTCTAAACTGTTGGTAGCTCATTTTGTATTTTGATTTTGAAATCCGTGAAACTTTGGTCTGATCTGAATTTAAATTTGATTTAAATCTGATTACTTTCACATGCCCCACATTACTTATAGTGCATCAAGAATCATTCTTAACATCTAAATAATACCATATAAATATATAAATTTCACCCATTCAAAATAAACATAAGACAAACAGGTTTTAGAAACTGGCTCACAAACAGCAAAATGTAAATACTGTGAAATCAATTTATCTTCCAGGCATTTAATGTTTCCATGTTATTCACATAAAGAAATATGTTCTTTCAATTATATTTATGAATTCTAATATCTTTTTTAGTCACACTTACTTACTAGTAAGTATCTATAATTAAGAAATGATAAGAATTAGACACTGGAATACCTAGAGATATCACAGTAAGATACTAGAAATGTGTCCATAGGACACGGATGCCCCCACACGCCACTGTTCTGTCAATCTTATGACTCTAGGTCAAATATTTTTTGGACTACATGTGCAACAAGTTGAAAACTAAAAATCAACAAAGGGCCATAATTCTGTTAAATTTGGTTGCAGCAAAAATTCCTTCCTTTACTGCCATCTACACATTAAGGTTGTTCGTCCCTGGAAGTTTAAGCAAAATCTGCCATCCGGTTTAAGAGGAGTTGCATTCACAAAATTTCTACATAGTATATAGTGAAAAAATCAACAAAGGGCCATAATTCTGTAAAATTTGGTCGCAGCAAAAATTCCTTCCTTTACTACCATCTACACATGAAGGTTGTTCATCCCTGTAAGTTTAAGCAAAATCTGCCATCTGGTTTAAGAGGAGTTGCGTTCACAAAATTTCTACATAGTATATAGTGAAAAAATCAACAAAGGGCCATAATTCTGTAAAATTTGGTCGCAGCAAAAATTCCTTCCTTTACTCCCATCTACACATTAAGGTTGTTCATCCCTGTAAGTTTAAGCAAAATCTGCCATCCGGTTTAAGAGGAGTTGCGTTCACAAAATTTTTACATAGTATCTAGTGAAAAAATCAACAAAGGGCCATAATTCTGTAAAATTTGGTCGCAGCAAAAATTCCTTCCTTTACTACCATCTACACATTAAGGTTGTTCATCCCTGTAAGTTTAAGCAAAATCTGCCATCCGGTTTAAGAGGAGTTGCGTTCACAAAATTTCTACATAGTATCTAGTGAAAAAATCAACAAAGGGCCATAATTCTGTTAAATTTGGTCGCAGCAAATATTCCTTCCTTTACTACCATCTACACATTAAGGTTGTTCATCCCTGTAAGTTTAAGCAAAATCTGCCATCCAGTTTAAGAGGAGTTGCGTTCACAAGATTTTTGGACGTACGGACGGACTGACAGACTGACGGACGGACGGACGGACTGACGGACGGACAAGTGCAACGCTATATGCTCCCACATTGTGGGGGCATAAAAACTGAAACAAAAATTTACCCGGATAGGACAAAATAATCTCTGCTAAAAGTAAGACACATGTGCAATACTTGTACATGCAAAATGGACAGAAAATAACACCAACTATTTTGGAAAGACAGAATAACTACATTTATAACAACTGTGAAATCATTTTATACAGTAAGCATATCATCATATAATACATGGCATCTTTAATTTATTCTAAGAGAATATGATTTGCTTTCAAATTCCAAATAAAATTCCTTTAATTAAATTATAAAACCTGTATTATTCCTTTTTTTTTATTTCCAAAATAAACCACTTACAACTACTAGCAAATAATAAAAAGAAATGATTTCACAGCGACATAACTGAAATATAAAACTTTGATCTTATCTAAGCATATATTTGAGTGAAATCAGTGATATGGCAACTTGAAACTTAAAATGCAGACAACCAACATTTTCACTTACTATATATTGATGTCATATACTAAGTTTACCATTATCCAATTACTAATATATAAATTTATATCTATTGACAACTTAAAAAGAGCATAATTTATACCATCATATCTTAACCAGACCAGACATTGTGATATATACATGTAATTAAACTACACATATAGAATAAATATCTCACTCACCGGCAAGTTGGTAAATGACATAAATATACTCTGTAGAAAAGCTATCAAGTCCATCAGATAACCACTCGGATGTCCACTTGGCTCAGACTGACTCCATGTATAGGCAGCTAAAAGGAAAACATACCAACTTGTCAAATGTTTCATTTCACAACACAAGCATGACACATTAATTGTTTCGATGATATATTTCTAAATTAAATTTTAATATTACATATAAACAACAGCACAGGATACACACCAAATTTAAACAAATAAGAATAAAAGAATTCAAAGTCCCTTGCAAGATTTGAGCACACAGCAGTGAGGGGCAAGTGATTCAAAGTCAAGTGACTTAAACCACTCCGTAACAGAAATCCCCCCCCCCCCACTCCCCCTCACACACATACATCATCTGGTTTGACATGGACAACTTGATCAGTATGAGAGACTAGAGTATATTACCTAGTTCGAGGAATTCATCGATCTTATTGTTGAGCTTTCTATAGATATACTCCTCTGCTTCACTTCTTGCATCCTGAAATATATCATCAAAATAATGCTACCGTAAATAACATGTCAAAAAAAAAAAATATAATGCACAATTCTTATGTATATTTTAATATCTTTTATTTTGATTGGATATTACCTTTGCAATAGTGGTGTGCTTCATAGAAAAGCTGAATACAAAAAATTGGCAGCAAAAATAGTTTTGTTTGAAAATAGCAAGAAAGATCTCTTCCTTAATTTGTCTTGTCATAGTCATGTAAGAATTGACAACACATCAATATGAGCTATTTTTCACCTTTTTGTTTCTTTGATGTAAAAAAAATTAACCACTCACACCTATGTCCTAAATGATCAAATCCAGATAATGACATCAATACTCCAAACTGTTGTTAAATAGCCAATAAACCTCTCAGACATATATTACTTCTTAAATATCACTGGCAAAGTAAGTTATAACATGCAAAAATGTTAAAATTGTTGAAAAATATAATTAAATGAAAAGAGGCATTGCTCCTTTTTTTATATTTCTTTGTAAAATGCTTCTGTAAACTGGTAGAGTAACTGAGTATTAGATACCCGAAGTAGATCTAACCTTAAACATTGAAGTCCCATGTAATCTGGCAGCATGCACACTATCTTTCTCAGCACTAAAATATAAAATATTATAGAACAAGAGGGCCATGATGGCCCTGAGGTCGCTCACCTGTATATAGGCCCCCCACCCCCAGGCCAATTTTTACCCAAGGGCTTTTATTTGTTTATTTGAACAGACTTGGTAGACACCCATAAGAAGATGTTTCATGCTAAACATCTAAGTTCTAGCTCATTGGGTTTTTTAAAAGAAGATTTTTAAAGTTTTTACTATACACATATAGTTAAAAACAATGACACCCCTGGGGCAGGGCCAGTTTTGACCCCCGGGCTTTTATTTGAACAAACTTTGTAGATAATTACTTAAAGATGTTTCATGCTTAATATCTAAACTCTAGCTATTTGGGTTTTTTCAAAGAAGATTTTTAAGTTTTTGCTATACACATATAAGGAAAATCAATGACCCCCCGGGCGGGGCCAGTTTTGACCCAAGGGCTTTTATTTGAACATACTTGGTAGACACCCATTGGAACATGTTTCATGCTAAATATCTTAGCTCTAGCTCTTTGAGTTCTTTAAAAGAAGATTTTTTAAGTTTTTACTATATGCATATAGGGAAAATCTATGACCCCCTGGGGCGGGGTCAATTTTGACCCCAGGGCTTTTATTTGAACAAACTTGGTAGACATTCACTAGAAGATGTTTCATGCCAAATATCTAAGCTCTAGCTCTTATGGTTCTTTAAAAGAAGATTTTTTAAGTTTTTACTATATGCATATAGGGAAAATCAATGACCCCCTGGGGCGGGGGCAATTTTGACCCCAGGGCTTTTATTTGAACAAACTTGGTAGACATTCACTAGAAGATGTTTCATGCCAAATATCTAAGCTCTAGCTCTTAAGGTTCTTTAAACGAGGATTTTTTAAGTTTTTACTATATGCATATAGGGAAAATCAAATGACCCCCGGGGCGGGGCCAATTTTGACCCCAGGGCTTTTATTTGAACAAACTTGGTAGACACTCACTAGAAGATGTTTCATGCCAAATATCTTAGCTCTAGCTCTTTGGGTTCTTTAAAAGAAGATCTTTTAAGTTTTTACTATATGCATATAGGGAAAATCAATGACCCCCTGGGGCGGGGCCAATTTCGACCCCAGGGCTTTTATTTGAACAAACTTGGTAGACACTTACTAGAAGATGTTTCATGCCAAATATCTAAGCTCTAGCTCTTAAGGTTGTTTAAAAGAATATATTTAAAGATTTTTCTTTCGGTTGCCATGGCAACCAGAGTTCTGCATGGAATTAAATTATTTGAACAATTTTTAAAGGTGACCACCAAAGGAACATTCCTGTGAAGTTTGGATGAAATTGGCTCAGTGGTTTATGAGGAGATGTCATTTAAAGCAAAAGTTTACGGACGGACGACGGACGGACGCAAACGGACGGACGGACGGACGCCGGACGAAAAGCGATCACTAAAGCTCACCCTGTCACTTTGTGACAGGTGAGCTAATAAAAGTAATATGTATGCATCAATAAAAGTAATTTAACACCATTTCAAATTCAAACCTTTAGCTAATATACATGTCAAATATCTAGTTTAATACAAAATCGCCACTTTCTTCTCTCTATGGTATGCAATGCTCATATTATTCACTTGAAAACAATCTACATCTTAGTTTCATTTACATGTTTTGAAAGCTTTAGCTTCTTTAAACACTCTTGAATCTGCTCTTGAAACTAACCAGTACTAAACAAAGAATGCAAAGTTTTTTGCTCAAGGGAACAATTGCTTGCCCCTGATGGTGTTTGAACTCATAAGGTCAGCAATCCTGACATTACTATTCTGACGATTTAACCACTCAGCCATACCGCCACTTTTAATATCTTGATCCATTATGTAACATTAAAACCATTGTAGATTTATTTCAAAAGAAGCTGTAGTACATACCCTGTTATACTGGAGATATAATCTTCTAAATGGCTACAGGATTTCTCCAAGTAATTCATGTTTATTGATATCTGTATCAACTGTAAAATAAATAAATAAACTAGAAATGTGTCCATAGGACACGGATGCCCCCACACGCCACTGTTCTGTCAATATTATGACTCTAGGTCAAATATTTTTTGGACTACATGTGCCACAAAATGAAAACTAAAAATCAACAAAGGGCCATAATTCTGTTAAATATGGTCGCAGCAAAAATTTCTTCCTTTACTACCCTCTACACATTAAGGTTGTTAATCCCTGGAAGTTTAAGCAAAATCTGCAATCCGGTTTTAGAGGAGTTGCGTTCACAAAATTTCTACATAGTATATAATGAAAAAATAAAAAAAGGGCCATAATTCTATTAAATTTGGTTACAGCAAAAATTCCTTTCTTTACTACCATCTACACATTAAGGTTGTTCATCCCTAGAAGTTTAAGCAAAATCTGCCATCCGGTTTAAGAGGAGTTGCATTCACAAAATTTCTACTTAGTATATAGTGAAAAAATCAACAAAGGGCCATAATTCTGTAAAATTTGGTCGCAGCGAAAATTCCTTCCTTTACTACCATCTACACCTGAAGTTTTTCATCCCTGTAAGTTAAAGCAAAATCTGCCATCCGGTTTAAGAGGAGTTGCGTTCACAAAATTTCTACATAGTATATAGTGAAAAAATCAACAAAGGGCCATAATTCTGTTAAATTTGGTCGCAGCAAAAATTCCTTCCTTTACTACCATCTACACATTAAGGTTGTTCATCCCTGTAAGTTGAAGCAAAATCTGCCATCCGGTTTAAGAGGAGTTGCGTTCACAAAATTTCTACATAGTATCTAGTGAAACTAGAACTGTGTCCACAGGACACGGATGCCCCCACTGACAACATATATATGGTATATAGTGAAAAAATCAACAAAGGGCCATAATTCTGTTAAATTTGGTCGCAGCAAAAATTCCTTCCTTAACTATTATCTACACATTAAGGTTGTTCATCCCTGGAAATTTAAGCAAAATCTACCATCCGGTTTAAGAGGAGTTGCGTTCACAAAATTTCTATATGGAATATAGTGAAAAAATCAACAAAGGGCCATAATTCTGTTAAATTTGGTCGCAGCAAAAATTCCTTCCTTTACTACCATCTACACATTAAGGTTGTTCATCCCTGGAAGTTTAAGCAAAATCTGCCATCTGGTTTAAGAGGAGTTGCGTTCACAAAATTTCTACATAGTATATAGTGAAAAAATCAACAAAGGGCCATAATTCTGTTAAATTTGGTTGCAGCGAAAATTCCTTCCTTTACTACCATCTACACATTAAGGTTGTTCATCCCTGGAAGTTTAAGCAAAATCTGCCATCTGGTTTAAGAGGAGTTGCGTTCACAAAATTTCTACATAGTATATAGTGAAAAAATCAACAAAGGGCCATAATTCTGTTAAATTTGGTCGCAGCAAAAATTCCTTCCTTTACTACCATCTACACATTAAGGTTGTTCATCCCTGGAAGTTTAAGCAAAATCTGCCATCTGGTTTAAGAGGAGTTGCGTTCACAAAATTTCTACATAGTATATAGTGAAAAAATCAACAAAGGGCCATAATTCTGTTAAATTTGGTTGCAGCGAAAATTCCTTCCTTTACTACCATCTACATATTAAGGTTGTTCATCCCTGAAAGTTTAAGCAAAATCTGCCATCTGGTTTAAGAGGAGTTGCGTTCACAAAATTTCTACATAGTATATAGTGAAAAAATCCACAAAGGGCCATAATTCTGTTAAATTTGGTCGCAGCGAAAATTCCTTCCTTTACTACCATCAACATATTAAGGTTGTTCATCCCTGAAAGTTTAAGCAAAATCTGCCATCCGGTTTAAGAGGAGTTGCGTTCACAAAATTTCTACATAGTATATAGTGAAAAAATCAACAAAGGGCCATAATTCTGTTAAATTTGGTCGCAGCAAAAATTCCTTCCTTTACTACCATCTACATATTAAGGTTGTTCATCCCTGAAAGTTTAAGCAAAATCTGCCATCCGGTTTAAGAGGAGTTGCGTTCACAAGATTTCGGGACGTACGGACAGACGGACGGACGGACGGACGGACAGACGTACGGCGTGACGGACGGACAAGTGCAACGCTATATGCTCCCACTCTGTGGGGGCATAAAAATCAACAAAGGGCCATAATTCTGTTAAATTTGGTCGCAGCGAAAATTCCTTCCTTTACTACCATCTACACATTAAGGTTGTTCATCCCTGTAAGTTTAAGCAAAATCTGCCATCCGGTTTAAGAGGAGTTGCGTTCACAAGATTTCGGGACGTACGGACTGACGGACAGACTGACGGACGGACGGACAAGTGCAACGCTATATGCTCCCACATTGTGGGGGCATAATAAATTATCAACCCATACCATGGTTAAGTATATATGATGTATTTGTTATATGACTCTAGAACTGTCTATATACATATGTAATATGAGGGATCGTGATATCAATGAGCCAAAATAAAGCAGTTAAGAATGGCAAAACTGTTTAGATTAGCAGTTTAAAGATTAATACAAATTTTAATGTCATTTACTAGCTAAAAAATCAATAATGGCAGGACTAAATACATTTAAAACATTTAAACTTAATAAAATTATTGTTTTAAAAGTGCACTAATGTTTATCATATTTTCAACAATGAATTTGTTTTCATCTGATTATTACAATAGAGAAATATTAAGAATATTAGATATTTAACCATTATACTTGCTTCTCCATGTTATATGAAAGACACATATAGCTAATTGCTTGAGTTTTACATCACATCAATACAGTAGAGGTCATATGGTGAATTTTTATAGCTAATGAGAATCAACATACTTGGAACATTTTAAAGGTCCAATACAGTGAGAGAAAGAGTGTTTAAATGTTTTAATTTTTACTTAAATAGTATATTTGAGTGTTTACCTGTAATAGACTAAGATTTGGCATCTTTATAAGATTTGACAGGCATCCACTTAGTGTCCGTGTTAACAGCAGATTTGTAGATTTCCTTATCATATCATCTATTTCTGTATGACTGTAATTATGCACACAAACAAAATATACCACAACTTTACAAGTCATCACTTTTTCGAGTGATAATTATATATATTCTTTAATTGAACAAACATGTATTTATGCTCAGTTGTCAGGATATCTATTTTAACAACAGACAAGTCTGAATTAAAGTCTAACCACAACTTACTAGTGTCATGATTTTCAAGGACTTAAATTACATTGAAACTTAATGCATGTCGCAGCTCTACTGTTTTACTTGTGGAGAAAATACTAAGGTTTGCCCATTATTACAGACACAAATTTGAGCCTATATAGAACAACAGACATTTAATTATGTTTCTTGTTTTTATGTCAATTTTAACATTTTTTTTTGTCAGACTAGCTTTCCTGGATAACAAACCAGTAGTTACCAATTTCTTCACAAGTGACTGACTACTAATCCGGCATGATTTCTGAATCAGGGGCCAGAGATAAATGACCATTGGACACACTGTCCGAGATCAATTATCACGTAGAGAGAAATTTTAACCTTTTTATATGTTATAAGCAACCCAGAAATTTCCTCATATAAAAAAATCTGATGTCTCTTGCAATTCACAACAAACAGTAAGAAGTGATACAAAGTACACAATGAAAACCACTAGGTCACTGACCCCTATTACAACAACTCTTGTCATTCACACACATTGTTCAAGCATCAGTAAGGAACCAAACTCCTTCCACTGATCAACTTTACAATCACTATAATATTATACAGGTACAGAACATTTTGGTGTGATGTAACACCCAATATTATACTAACATGGACAAAGAATGTTTATTACTAAAGAAGACTTACCTTAAATGTAAATCAGCAGAGAATTTTAGGCAGGCATTAATATACTCCTTAACTTGGTTATAAACATTCGGAACAAACTGTGAAAATGGGAATCTCTTCGGGTATGGTGCCTGCAAAGAAACATAATATAGCTGTATTTTTCATATTCTGTACATAGAAATATATTATGCAGGAACCTAGGTTTACAAAAATTGGTAATCTCTCTTCCTGTAGAGTGTTTGAAATGTCTGAGTAAAAGAACTTGCCCTATTTTAACATATGGCCAATATCACTAAAATCAAACAGTCAGCGGTATTAATGTATATGCAGCAGTACAAGTCTAGAAAATGTAAGATTTACAGGAACAATATCAGGTACTGATGTTTGAGACAAAGTAATTACCTCTCCACATAATGATGATAGTTACTTATCTCAGTACAAGTTAATGGTAATGAAAATGTAATTAAAGTATGATTATTAAATGCTTTTTACTATCTATACTTATAATAAATAAACAACATTCACAATCCATAACTTCCTCATAAGTGATCACACAATTATAGAACATCCAATAAAATATTGTCAAAACACAATGAACTTCAATGACAATTTATGACAGTTTTTCAATTTTCAGGAAATAAGTCGTTGAAGAATTCTGTGAACAGGGTAGAAGACTGTAAAGATATGCAGGCTAGAGTACATCTACACTGTTGGTGGTGGTAGTGGTAGTTTTCACTCCGGATCACGGTAGTAAACCACTTTGAATTTACAAGAGCACAGTTCAGCACCACATACTGCTTACCATTGAAATAATTGTAAATGTTAAATGCTAAGATAATCACCTGGGTAAGTTCGTCATCTTGAAATGGGAACTGCGTTATCACAGATACATATTCAGCTTCATCCTCTATATAGATTGGTGTATAGTTATCCTCGGCAAATATATCGTTAAACACCCCCACCCACTGTCTCGTCAGTGTATCACTATACTGGTCTCTACAAGGTATATAAAGTTAATATTATATAAATATAATTTCATTATAAATTGATCAATGGACTACAAAGCTACTAGTTATTCTAAAATATTAAGTAGATGTCACCAACATTCTGTTACAACCTATCAGCAAAATGCCTTTACAAGGAAAAATATGAAAAAAGTTAACAGCAACTTGTTCTCTATTCAGTCAGTATATATTTTGAAATTTTCCCTAAAAATGATGGTTTTCTTCAGTTTAAAAGACAGATGAGTCCATTTAAAATATTTTGAGAAGAAAAGGTGAAAACTTAAAAAGGAAAAGAAAGAATAAAACATTTTTATATTAAAATGTATACACGAATGCACTTCATATGTTGAAAATGACTATATAATATTGACTTAAATCTATCAAATAATTTCATTTATATCAAATATATGATTCAAGCTTAACTTAACTTATACAAAAGTACTAAACTCACCTTAATTCCAATAATAATTCTAGAAGATGACCAACACTGAATCCATATCCCTGAAACATTCATTTTTTGATTTATACACTTATAATTACAAAAATATCATTCATCATATTAGTAATCTTTTAGATGATACTGTATTGAATCAAATATCTCCTGCTTGTAGGGCTAACATTTACCTCACTATTTGTAAACTTGGTTTTAAGCAACACAAACATTATTCAGGTCATCACATTAATTGCATCTCTCTATAAATTAGCTCACTTGACAGCAAATCACAAGTTGATGAGCAAAAGTCAATAATTGTGGTGAATGAATCAATGTCTGAGTCTAATTCATACATACAAGTAAAAGTTATGTAACTAACAGGGCTAAAAGGTAATATGTTTAACCTTTATCTTGATGCAACCATAAACTAACAGCCTCTGCCACCAGTATATAGCCAGATTAGTCTGCACATCCATCCAATCTAACCAGACTCTATACTACTGACTGACCGAACATCAAATTATCATTTCGATTTTTCATAGTTCTCAAAAACAAGAGGGCCATGATGGCCCTAGATCGCTCACCTGACCCATCAAACTCATCCAAACAATTATCTAGACAAGCATTCTGACCAAGTCTCATGACAGGTGAGTCAAAAATGTGACCACTTCAGTGTTAACAAGGATTATCCATATTTGAGCAGTGTGACCTAGTTTTTTACCCAGGTGACCCATATTCAAACTTGACCTAGAAATCAACAAAACAAACTTTCAGACCAATTTCCAGGATACTTGGATCAAAACAGTAGCAACTAGAGTGTTAACAAGATTTTTCTATTTTTAGCTCCGGTGACCTAGTTTCACATGCGATTTCGAACTCATCCGAGCAATTACCTAGACAAGCATCTTGACCAAGTTTGATGATAATTGAGTCGAAAATGTGACCACTAGAATGTTAACAACGTTTTTCAATATTTGGGCGGTGTGACCTAGTTTTTCATCCAAGATGACCCATGTTCGAACTTGACTTAGAAATCATCAAAACAAACTTTCAGACCAATTTACAGGATATTTGGATCAAAACAGTAGCCACTAGAGTGTTAACAAGATTTTTCTATTTTTAGCTCCTGTGACCTAGTTTTTCATCCGAGATGACCAATGTTCAAACTCATCCAAGCTATCAACTAGACAAACATCCTGACCAAGTTTGATGATGATTGAGGTAAAATTGTGACCAATAGAGTGTTAACAAGGTTTTTCTATTTTTAGCTCTTGTGACCTAGTTTTTCATCCGAGATGACCCATGTTGGAACTCATTCGAGCTATCAAATAGATAAGCATCCTGACCAAGTTTGATGATGATTGAGGCAAAAATGTGACCACTGGAGTGTTAACAAGGTTTTTCTATTTTTAGCTCCGGTGACCAAGTTTTTCATCTGAGATGGCCCATGTTCAAACTTATGCAAGCTATCACCTAGACAAGCATCCTGACCAAGTTTGATGATGATTGATGCAAAAATGTGACCGCAAGTGTGTTGACAAAGTTTTTCTATTTTTAGCTCCGGTGACCTACTTTTTCATCCGAGATGACCCATGTTCGAACTCATCCAAGCTATCACCTAGACAAGCATCTTGACCAAGTTTGATGATGATTGAGGCAAAACTGTGACCACTAGAGTGTTTACAAGGTTTTTCTCTTTTTAGCTCCTGTGACCTAGTTTTTCATCCGAGATGACCCATGTTCAAACTCATTCGAGATATTACCTAAATAAGCATCCTGACAAAGATTGATGATGACTGAGTCAAAATTGTGACCGCTAGAGTGTTAACAAGGTTTTCTATTTTTAGCTCATGTGACCTAGTTTTTTATCCGAGGTGACCCATGTTCGAACTCATCCTAGCTATTACGTAGATAAGCATCCTGATCAAGTTTGATGATGATTGAGGCAAAAATTTGACCGCTAGAGTGTGAACACGGTTTTTCTATTTTTAGCTCCTGTGACCTAGTTTTTCATCCGAGATGACCCATGTTCGAACTCATCCGAGCTATCACCTAGACAAACATCCTGACCAAGTTTGATGATGATTGAGGCAAAAATGTGACCGCTAGAGTGTTAACAAGGTTTTTCTATTTTTAGCTCTTGTGACCTAGTTTTTCATCCAAGATGACCCATGTTCGAACTAATCCGAGCTATCAACTAGATAAGCATCCTGACCAAGTTTGATGATGATTGAGGCAAAAATGCGACCGCTAGAGTGTTAACAACAAAATGTGAACGGACGGACGACGGACAATCATCGATCCTAAAAGCTCACCCTGAGCATGCTCAGGTGAGCTAACAAAAGCACAAATCTATTGAATAATTTAAGCAGAATAAGAATTAAATTCAAATAAGGTTATACCTTTAATGTATGACAAAACAACACAATAAGCTTCTTTATTTCTAACATCATGTTGCCTTCCTTGCACTGGGCCTGCAATATTACAAAATGTTCTACACAAAGTTCATAACAATTGACTTTTATTACTGTATTACACAACTGCAATCATTTAATAAGCTTGATCTATTATAATAATTCATGACACAGAATTAAAGGAGTGGACTCTAAATTTACAAAAATGACATTTTCAATTTTTGATAGCTTTAATTTTTTTATAAATCTTTTAATCTTTTACCTTTCAAAATTTCTTTCGGCTCTAATTCTACTTTAGCACGAGTCTTATTGTTGTAAGTTTGATACAATAAGAAACAACTTGCAAGACTTAAACACTACAGATTTGACAGAAATCTTAGGTCATCTTATAAACTGAGAAAAACTTACAGAATTTGTTCGTAGCACAGCAACTATTTTGCTAACTGATGTTTCCCACAGTTCATCCATGTACGACCTGTTGACTAGACCATGTGTAGTACTCAGTATATGATCCTCCACCACAAAAAATCTGAAAATGTCATCTTATACATTATATACTTAATCTTGTAGCAATGTGTCATTACCATCAGGATTTGTTTTATTGCAACAGTGAATAACCTTAGCCAGATATACTGTGAGTTTTATTTTAAATAACATCTACACCAGTAACATTTAATTATTCAAATGGTAAAATTAAACCATTTAATGGTAACTTTCTAGCTTTACTGATGAAGTGGTATCTTTAATACCCCCTCTGTTCATCATTTCAAACACAAACTCATATTTTTGTCGAATCATTTACCATCAGTAAGATATGTAGATAACTTTCATACAGATATGAGAGAATCATAGGTCATTTTAGGAATGTTTTTGGTTTAATTTGAACTAATTACTAAATTCTTAAAAGAAGGAAACAGAAAGAAAAACCTACCCTACAATATCATGAAAGTATTTCTTGTAACTGTCTATTGATTCATGCTGTAAACAAACAAAACAAAATATTATTATAAATATACTGTAAGTGTTTCATTTACAAGTCATTAATTTAAAATTTTGGTGTTAGTATTAAAGTTTGATTTTAAAATACATTTCTCACAATATGAGAAAAACAACATTTTACCTTTAATAAACACACAAAAAACCATGCACATCAATCAAAATATATTTATGCTGAATTAATTCTACATATGATACTCACAAAATTATTTTGATTAATCATTTCATTTCAAAACTAGTTGTTTTTTTTAATTAGTAAAGCACTACATAAGCAGTGAACATAATAGTACGTTTTTTTCTTCATTTTTTGTACCAAACCTATTATATTCAATCATTAAAGAAGAACAATTTATTAAAGACATGAATCTTTCTACACATTTTACAGTATAACAGTTAATACATACCATATTAGAAGGTGGGTCGAGTGAAAGTCGGGCTTGTTTCCGCCTCTGTTTTCTGTAGTATGTTTCAAAATGTTCACGATCACTCTGAAAAACATAAAATGTTTTATTCAAAACACTAACAAAATTACAAAGTACTTGTTTGGCTCATATAATCACTTAATATTTCACTAAAATATAATCTATGTTCCAATTTCCAAGTAATATAGGTAAGAATATATTATGTAAAAAAAACCCAACAAATTACAAGAACTACAAGAACAAAACAACATATAAATGACTAAAACTTCAACAAAAGAATTATTATAAAATCATACCAGAACTGTATATATATGCAGACACCTGTAGACAGGTGAAAAGTCAATCAGATCTTGGGCACTTAGTTCCTACAATATACAAATAATTGTACAAAAGATTTACAAAAGAATGCCATTATTTCAAACACTTACACATTAAGTTGAAGACTATCAACAAAATCACACAAAAAATATTTAACTCTTCTATATGAAAAGTAAAATGTTTTCTTTATTTTTCATATGGCAACTTTCAAGCTTTCCTCTTGGATGAAGACTGAAGAAACATCATAGTGCATTTATTCAGGTACAAGTAAGCACCCCCTAGTATAACAGCGAACAGTTTATGAGTTATTGGGATAACTTTCTCACTCCGGCAGAAAATGAAACTACAGCAGTGTGGAGCAAGTGATTGAGTAAGGGTCATTAATCATCTGGCCATACAAGCAATCTAAATGGTCAAATTTCTTTTGTTTCTTTGTTGCTAATTGAATGCTATTTCAACTATCAAGTGAGAAAAGATCATCAATGCTGACTTGATACCATACAGAAACTTATAAGAAATTTAAGTGCATTTCAATAACAGTATTGAAAAGGTTCAACATTTACCAGAAGTCTGTAAAATCATGTTGTATAAAGCATACAATATTCTGTCAAATAAGTAGCAAACTTTGAGAAACTGATCCAGTTGACTGTTTTCTTAGTTACAAGCTATTATTTAAATAGAATATTTTAGGCTGATAGAATTATACCAAAAACATTCACCAGGAGTCTGTAGAAATGTCCCATGATTGATCATATTGTAAAAAGCATACAACTTTCAAACATGTTTTGGAAATCTAAAGAAATCTGTTTTGATACAAGCTATTGAGGTACAGAGTATCCCAGGCTGGTATAATTATCCTACACCATCCCAGGACAAGTAAATGATTTACCTCCTCCGCGTCTTCATCATCTGAGACATGTATCTCATGCTGGGTATCTTCAACTTCTCCTGTAAATGGATTAGGTGGAGCAGGGGCTTTACGTTTCTTACTTCTCTTCTTTACAATAGATGGGTCCATATTGTTCTGTTCTGCTGCCTACAGTAATCAGATATAACACACATAGTTTTCCAAAGAATCAAACTTGCTTGAATTCATAGCCCTTTCATTATAAAAAAATTTCATTGTTCATAAGGATTGTTTATATAAAATCAATTTCTTTTGTTTTTCTGTTTTAGAACCAGCCTTTATGGTGTTATATTTTTGCATTCTCCTCTTAATCAAATTTCAAATATAACTACTTTTCTACATAAATTTAAAATATAAGTACATATAATGGCATGTAAGCACAAAATTTGTTTCATGCTTATTTCTTAAGGTCTATTTTTAACTGATGTAATTTTTTTTTATTGTCTTACATGTCTCATAGCGACCTCGCCAATCTTTGCTGAATGTTTACGAATATTTTCGAGGAAATCTTTCAGATCTATCATGGAAGCCTCCTTTATACGATTACGAAGCTGTGGTATAGCTTCTGTCATAGTCTCGGAGAACCAGTGTGTACTGACACGTGGCAGATACGTGTGTTCTAACTGTTCTAGTGTCTTCAATGCAGGATAAAACCTGTAACAGTACAATAAATATATACTGGTAACATACAGAACTACAACTATACAAATACCTGCTTTGTCAGCATTTTGAAAACATTTGTTATTTGTGGCATAATTTGCCATAAGAAAATTTATAATTTTTTATAATATTAATTACATTATTCGCCTGAGCACATATGATGTTACGTAATTATGTGGAGACTCTAAGTAGAAACAGATCCTATTTCATTACTTAACTCTAAAAATAAGATTTTTTTGATTATTGTGATACTTCCTTCTTGACGACTTTGCAGTTCTACAGGATATATGTCATACAGAAAATCAGTTAAGATTTTTCTGACTCTGGTCTGAAAAAGCTACAACAAAAACTGCCTCACAAACCTTTTATCCTTCATCTGTTCCTGGAGTTTACCATACATTTCCAAAACTGTTAAATGAAATATATAAAATACATACAGTGTATTTACAATAATAATGAACATGAATGATCGCAAACAATTTCATGGTACAGTGTTAAGATAAATGTAGCAAATACAAAATGTATGTTACATAAAATTAAGAAAATTAAAATTTTTATTTGATAAATTCATGCAATTAAAACTTTTAAAACAATTATCTTAAGTGTTTTTTATGGTTAATTTCAATAATATCAAAATACGATATGAGTGGCTTAAAAGTGACTTTCTATTGTAAAGAACTTGAAAACACTTGCACTGTTAAGTGTTTACAAATCTTTCTAGTACTTCACTTGAATGTGATGCCTGTTTTGAGATATTATATACATTTTCAAGTGTCTATAACATTCCATCTCTAGACCTATTGACAATTAGTTTTTATTTGGCCCTTAGCATTCAACAAAAAATATTTAATATCAATTATAAGGAGAAAATTTTAGCATATAGTAAGTTAGACTGAAAAAGACAATTTTTAAGAATTTTCCATTCATCTCCCATAATGTTTCCTAAATTCCAAATGCCCCTCAAAGTTTTATTATTTTATTCTACAAACTCATGTTCCAGATATTCCAGATATTTTGATCCAGAAGCAACAATGACTCTCAGGGCTTGACTTAGCTTACACAAATGAAGTAAAAAAAATGAAATTTTCTACCAGCTATATGCAAACTTAGAAAATGCAGTCGTACCTGGAAGACATAATGATAGTTGTTCTATGGCTGACGCTATATTCTTCTGTACACGTCGACAACGCACCAAATGATCTCCTTTCTGCATCAATGGCTCACATGACACCTGTAGAGCTGTATTTGTGGCATCTATTTCACCCTGTTTGAAAACATCACATTTATTTTCTATATATTTATTATTTAATTTTTTGTCAGGTTATAGCTTGATTTGTGATTACGTCAGTTTGTGAATAGGTTTTTTCTATCTCTATACTATGACCTAAACTACATTGTGCTCTGTTAAAATGTGCAAATGCTAAAATGAAGAAAACCACCAAAATATTTCTCTTTTATATATTAATGCACATCTGTAAATTGTAGATAATCACAAAGTTTATATAATCTACATATACAACTGCTGCCAACTTATGACAGAATTAGTAGCCTGGTATTTTTGTAAAAAGGGAAGAATAAAATTTGAGGGGAAAAACTGTTTAAGTAACTTTCCTGAGGGGAAGCAGCCCTTTAATTGCCCCAGCTATAAGGAAAAAAAGCCCTGTAATATTATACACAATATTAACATATTCATTTTTGTCTGTTTAACCAATAACACATGCAGATAAACACATGAATTTGGACCTTCATAAACCAAACCTCATTCTTCAACAAGCTTATAATGAAACCATTTGAATACAAATTTGAAAAAGGATAATTTGATAAATCACATTCAGAAATTCAGAGATAATATAGAAGACACGAATGGGCAAGCTGAGCTAATACAGCATGCAAACATCTCTTACACAGCAGGAAAATCATTAGTTCATATAATGTAAAAATAATTATGTAAATATAAACTTATTTTCTTAAAACATCAACATCTTCATTAACGTAATGTATTTCCCCAGGGAAGAATTTTCTAGCTTTTTAAAAAACAAATCAATCAGCAGCTTTCCCAAGTACGGTAACTACAACCATGCAATTACTGTTAAGAATTTTAAATTTCACTTTACTCTAATGCAATCATTATGGATAAAAAATCTTAACCCCACATGTACAATGGTTTATATTCAAAATAGCAATATACAAGAAGCTAGCAAAGATTACAAATTTATAATAAAGGACAAGAGATGCAAGTAAAAAGAAGAGATCTGTCACCAATATGAATATAAGATATCAAATACCATTATATCAAACCATTTTACAGTGTTGTAATTTGTGCACAGGAAGACTTACTAATACAAGATTAGCTATCTGGTATTAAAATCAAAGTTTAATCTGCTTTTTCATCACAGGCAGTTTAATAAATAAAAGTAGTTTCAATCTAGCAACTAATTTCAGTATTTCATTACTTCAAAATTGCCACATACCGGTTATCATGATGTTATAACTTTTTAAAAGCTGAATTCAAAATATGATTTTCCTAACATAGTTAGCTAGTATTTTTGCAAGCTGCAATGAATTATAGACTGAATTAATTAGTCTACTCTACCACTCATGACTTTGTGTATATTACGTCACTACAATTTGAATATAATGATGAAATTCTACATGTGTAAGTTTTGCTATAGTTTAACATGGTAGAACTTTGAAGTACAGTATTTGTTAAAATGTGCAGTAGTGAAAGAAACCATTGAAGGTTACTCCACATGCCAAAAATTAACTTCTGTTAATCTTATTTCTGTAAATCAAATGTCTGTATATGTATATTGTCTATTTCTGTACATATGTATATTTATGTACATATGTACATTGTCTGTGGCTGCTTTACTTAATGGAGAAAAAGAGTTACCATATTGTCACACAATAACCTCTATTAACACTCCAGTCATTAACTATGTCTGCCTGTAAGTTTGTATATTGCCTTTGTGAAAATTAATGTTGTAATGCGGTTATTTGTAAATATCAATATACAGTCATATTTTATACCATTTAAAGGCAGATGTTAAATGTGGAAAAAAGTTAAAATTGGAAAATGACTTGTTACATGATAAATACCTTATTTAATAAAGTCCCATAGTTTAACTGTCTTTGTCATGTTTAAGATCAATTTGACAATGTGAATTTTCATTAAACAATTTCAAACCAAGATATATCAACCCCCACCCCTTTAAAATAAAGATGAAAAAAAAAGATGAAGATAATGATCATATTTTATTCTTACCCTGAGATGGGCAGCATCAGTACTGACTTGAAGAAGTTCTCTGACAGAGTCGATGAAGCCCTGGTAGTGGTAGTTACACATCCGCTCAATTTCACGATCATGTGACTTAATTGTACTATCCAATAGGTGTACAAACTTGTCAAGGTCATCATCATCATAAACAGCACTGAAACATTGTAACAACAAATGAGTCACGTCATGACAAAACCAACATAGTGGGTTTGCGACCAGCATGGATCCAGACCAGCCTGCGCCTCTGCGCAGTCTGATCAGGATCCATGCTGCTGTTGGCTTACAAACCCTATAGCAAGTGGAGAAACTGATAGTGAACAGCATGGATCATGAATAGACCGGGCGGATGCGCATGCTGGTCTGGATCCATGCTGTTCGCAAACGCACAATGTTGGTTTTGTCAAGACGCGGCTCAAATATCAAGCAACACAGATGAGAGATGTCAAATTTTATTTGATTAAACTTTATGTAAATTCCTCAAGAGAAAAAAATCAAACTGCTCAAATCAGTTGTTAAAATGTTTCTATTTTTCTCCAATATAATATGTTGTCAGTAGACTTTTACAGTGTAGTTTTACTATAATTTATTCTTTTAGTAATTTGTTTATCTGGAGAAGACATTTACTTAAGGAATAGGAACTGGATATTCTGTTTCAGCGTTTTTTTCTCTACTTTGGGAATGGTGCCGGTACCAGACTGATTGGGAAAAAATGCGTTATTTTGACTTAATCAATGAATTTTTTCAGCTACAAATAAGATTAGTCATCATGAATAAAGATAGCTTACAGATTCCACTGTCTAGGTAGAACTATTGAGTGGTGATAAATATGTTGGATTTAAATAATTTCAGAGAAATCACTTGGCCTTGTGGGAATTTTGAACAGCCATTTTGGGAATTTAAAGATTGGAAATTCAATGTCTATTTTCTATTGGGAACAGTACCATTTTTGGGAAGTTGTTATATAAAGAAAAAAACACTGTGTTTGTGTTAGTGGGCAGATATAGATAATTTATAATATATAGACACAAAGTTAAATAAATTTGATGCAACAAAGAATTATCTCATATTATTACTAAATAAACTTTTTATTAATTTCCAGAAAGATGATACTGATCTGAAAAAACAACCTGGCATCATTAATTATACCTATTGAAGGCATTTTTGCTGAAAAAAAGATCCCTCATGAACAAAGCATTTCAAACATCCCTTTGGACCAAAAAAAGCCTTCCATGGGGTGATATTTTATGGAATAGATGATTGTCTAGTAAAAAGGCAATATAAAGTTTTCACACATTGAATTGATTATACAATTGTCACAGGGTGAGAAAATGTGCAGCCTGACCGGGACTTGAACCCTGGACCTTCACAGTACTGTACCACAGTTCTAGACTACCAACTAAGCTATCCAGCCACTTGCACCAATTAGTGGACAGTTCTGAACTGTGAGTGTGAAATACTCTCCTACTGTTCTTCCTTGAATTTCAAAAGGCTTTTAAGAGCAAAGGACACAGAGCTTTAAACAATCACGATCCCATGTTGGGTGCCAAATGTCACAAGGTGAGAAAAATATGACAGACTTAAACCCTCAGGTTTAATTCGGAATACTGCGGCTCTACCGTCTGAGCTATCCGGCTGCTCACATGATATTGCCCCTAAGTAGTGCATTGTTCTGAACCGTGACACAATTATAATCACAGAGTTGACAAAACATGTTCCCATTTTGAACAGAATATTTAGCTTGACTAAATTAGTATAAAATGATTGTTGAAACATACTCATAGGTGGCCCGACAGCTCAGTTGTTAACCACTGATTATCACTCCTGAGGTTCCGGGGTCGATCATTGGTTACACCCTTGGGATTTTTCAGAGATACTTTCAGTGTATCCCACCTACCACTTTCAGTGTTTCCCACCTACCTCGAGGTGTACTGGTAAGAAATCAAGGTAATCCTTGCATGTATCAGTGCTATACACTTGGCATGTAAAAGAACCAAGAGGTCTATTAAATAAGAGCTAGGGACTGGTTCCTGGATTCCCTTGTATCTTATACTCAACTTATAGCTGTCTCTTTAATGTATACAATGTATACCTGCTTAGAGTGATCGAAAACGATTTTAAAGCAGTAGAAGTACAGAATAATTTGTACATAGACATGCTTCTATAAAAAACAATCTTGACTATTTTATTTATCTCCCTAAATTGTCAGTAATCTCAGTGATGTAAACATTGGTTGGGAGCATGTCCCTGTACCTGTACCCTAACAAATTATGTTGACATAAAAAAGTTAAAAAAAATTCAAATATACTACTCCCTGCGGGTACCGCATCTTTTCCTATTCCGGTGTAAGCAGAAAATTTGTTTCTTTACCCACTGAATGCCACCAAATACTGTTTCCACCATGAAAGTGAAACTGGAAGTGTACCTTTTTTTAATTTGGATAGAAATTGTTAAAAATATTTTCATTTCAAATAAATTTCTGTCATTAATAAAAAAATCCAAAGCTGCCCGCATGTGTTGAAAATACTTCTTTATTTTACCCCATATTTATCAGTTAAACCGATAATTTCATGTTCTGACAAGTGAAGGTCGTCTGCTGAAACTGTTGAAAAAAATTATACTAAAGTCAAAAAGGGCCATCAATTTACATACCACGGTACCATAGTGCACTCCGTTTAAGCTCCCATTCAAAACATGGCGAACTAACTGTAGATGATTCTATTTTAAATCATTGGTTTATACAAATTTATTTTTTGTTCGACTGTGTTGGAAGCTATAAGCTTATTGAAACACTCTCGAATCCGTTCCTGGAACCAACCAGTACTAAGCAATGAATGTAAAGTTTTTGCTCAAGGAAACAACGGCTTGCCCTTGACAGGGTTTGAACCTACGCGGTCAGCAATCCTTAGATTACTAGTCCGACGCGTTAACCACTCGGCCACGCCGCACATATTTTAAATCATTCTATGAATGACATGTGTATTTTAAAGTCAAGATGCGACACTTAAACACAATTTAATAAAATAGTAAATTCAAGTTCTTTTTATTTATACAATTTGCTGGAAATAATAAGAATAGCTTAAGGTCTTCAGCGTACCCGTTTATATATATGACATAACGTGAACGCTGAAGATAACCCCGTAGGGAAAGTCCACCAATAATCGTGCCAGGAATCTGACACGCTCGTATTTATTTATCGAACATGCCACGAAGTAAAGTAAAGCATACCTTGATAAAACGATATATAATCTGTTAATAAGCCAAGGATGGACAAATAAAAATCTTATTAGGAACATAAACTACCTAATAGTTTCCGACAGGTAAAAATTTCGGCACTTGGCCGCCATATTGCCAAAATGTTTGACCACGTGATTACGAGATTGACCTTAATTATGAAAATAAATAAAAACATTATCTTGAATAAAAATATCGAAATCATGTCAACAAAATGTTCTAAATATAGTACACAACTCTATTCAAATCTGTTCCCGCGAATGACGTCATGCGAGGTCTCGCGTGGCACTTGAATGTCATGGCCGACTGTAGTCGGCGAAAATTGATGTTTTACAGTTAAATAGGCAATTTTAATGACGGTATTAATATTTTATTACTTGAATTGGTATAGAACGATATTTAAATAATTGTTTTACCGTAAAATGCACAAGAATCGATCGGGTCAAGTGTATTTGCAAGTGAAAAACAAGAATAAATCAACTTATGTTATTCTGGTTAGGTTTCGTAACGGGTCTAATCCAAAACTTTAATGCCGCATCTGATGAAAAACAAAAATGTTAAAAAGCGGCTTATAAAGTTTTGGAAGCCAGAACTATAATAAGAACAGTGGTACCATAGGGGACCATCCTATAATTGCTCAACTTAATTTATGCCTGCATATAAATTACTTTAGTATGTCAACATAACGCATACCCCATATTTAAATGATTCAATGTAACGGTATAATCTGATGACATGACCGAAAATTGGCAAAAAAATTATATAAAAATTTCATAAAAAATTCAGCTGTCAGTGACAAAATTTATGTTTTCAAGGAATACCGCAAAGTTGTAGCAAGGGGGCCATCAGAAGTCTCTATTTCTGTGATAAGATGATGATGTTTTGCATTAACCGACTCTTGACGCAAGCTGTCTGCATCTTGTACGCTGTCTAATCTCTTCCAATGTTCATTTTGGAACTTTTTGGGTGTTGCTTCCGCCATTGCATCTTTTGTTACGCATGCGCAAACGGGATTTTACTAATTGACGGTCTCCGGTATCCGGCCTTCTAATCTGTCTCGGCCCATTCTAATTTCGTCCTAAATTATATATATTTTCATATGTTTATGTATTTGTGACTCGAAAAATACATTCCATTTTTGAAAATGTTTTTCAATTTATCACGATGTAATGCAATAAACATTTTAATACATAGTCTGCTCCAAAAATAATTTAAAAACAAGTTAAATTGCAATGTGCGTTTCCTATTTTTTTCAACTACATGTATATATGCAATCATATTTTGCCAACAAAAGAATTTTTCTGCAACTTTGTGTATTTCTGTGTTTGTTATCTATTCCTCCCCCCAAAAAGCTCCGTGTATGCATGCTTTTTGCCAAAATAGGTGTTCATTAGATTCAATGTCAGTTGCACAAAATTATTAAAATTTGTTAAAAAATACCAAGATGATATTTATAGCGTTCTCTGCTCAAAATATTTTATGAACAGACCTAATCTAACCGAACCTGCAGCATTGTCAATTTTGCCGTTTTGAATTCTGTTCACACTTTTCACTTCCTATATCTTTATAAGAATTAATATATTAATTATGTTCACGTAGCTTAACAAATGCAACTTAAAATCTTACCTTCTAATCGCAAGACTCTTTCTTTGAAACTATCGTTAACAAAATTAAACAGTGTAAAGAAAATGATTAAAAGCTTTTCGCTTGAATAGTAGATGTGGCTTTTGAAAAATTACAATATTGTTACAAGATCAACCCCGGACCAACAGAATGCAGGCGTTTGGAACTGAGAAAACACGTAAGTACAGAATATTTTTATTTTATTTTCACTTATTTTTCTTCTACAACATTAAATATATGAAATATTCCTTTATTTCATTTTCTTTATAATTTTCTTTTCTTCGCTCAGATCTCCATACCACGTCCCAGTCTTTCCCATTGCATCCATTTAATTCCCATTTGGGCCCCTTTGTTTCTTATTGTTTCACTAATTGCGTTTCCCTCCCCGCCTTTCGCCGCCCTTGTGTGCTCTGGTGCCTTCTGAATGCCCTGCTGTTGTGGCTAGGGTGTGTCGGGAACTGCGTCCTGTGAACGTTGCCTTTGCCTTGTTGATCTTCATTCTCATTTTTACAAGAATGATAATTGTAATATGACAGTAGATATGAATTTATATGCAAAGCTGTTGTTGTATATTTGATTGATATGAAACGTTATTGTGTATGAATAAGTTGAAAGTTTTAATACTCGAGGAAATAGTTAAAATTTACTGCCAAGACCTGCATTCATATTTCAGAGAAAAGTCGCGCTTTTGTCTCACTTAAATAATTGATCTACAGTTGTTTTTTAATCTCAATCTCTTTTATATGCTTTAGTATTGTACATGAATACACATATTGCTAGGGTATTTTATAATTAGTACTTTATCTAGATAACTTTGCTTTTTATCTCAATCTATAATATTTTTATCATGTGACGTATATAAGACAGATTGGCAATGGTTATAATTGTTTTATTATGAAGATAAATTAATTTGTTTTCGGACAACTTTGTATAGTCTCGAATAATTCTTATTGTATGGTTGCATAATGTTTTACACTGTTTTTTCAATGTATGAAATATATGCAATGTCTGGACACTTAAATATGTATAAGGTCTTAGATCTAAGTAAAAATGCCTTAGTACATGTACATCAAATTAGAAATACCTCCTCACTTTATAATGAAATACTATCTGTTATGGACGGTCATTTAAAATATCATTTTTAACCTGAATTATTACAATTTATTGCCTTTTTGAGAGTGCGTAAGGGATTCTGTTATTCTGCATCATACACTTCCGGTGCTAAGAAATACTTCTTACTGTGATCAATGCACTTCTTGACAGAGATAAGTGAACCCATGAGTGAACCAATAGGAAGAATCGGGTGAGTTTTTATTGTCAAATTGGTCTGTGGTCACTTTTATAGTCATTTTAACGTGACTAGTGGTCAATTAAATTAAGTTAAATACGATTTACTGTTAAGCGTGTATATAAAGATTATCATATATATCTGTATTTGTGTGAAAAAGTGCAACCAGTCAATAAAGAGCTTTAACATTCAGCTTAATAATAAAAAGCTATGTGCTGATTACTTTTAGGTACTAAGCAGGAAATCTCATTAAATTTTGTTTTCATGCGATATTTTGCAACACTTGTCACATACATGAATTACATTCTCAAATAAAGAAATATAAACGAATGAAATATTTTTTAAGACTATGCTTATTTTAGGTTTGTGATACATAGAATATTAAAATCGCATAGCTTCATTGTAGTGTTCACTAAGCTCGTTCAATAAAGTCCTTATAGAATGTACATTTACTCATTATATGAAATGACAAAATAGGACAAAAAGACCGAATCCCTAGTCTCGTGTAAGATCTTATAACTCTTTACTCACAAAAAGCTACAAAAAGCTATCAACAGAAAGGAGATATCATTTTATTATTATATAAAAGCGTTTGATATTTTTGTAAAAAAACAACAACAACAACACACACAACCCACCTACACACTCGCACACACGCACGCACGCACACGGACGGACACACACGCACACGCACACGCACACACACACACACACACACACAAACATGAACGCACAAACAAACAAACAATCAAACACGGAAGTGTTCAAATTTATTAAGTATTTTAAATACAACTGTCAATATCACAGTCATCACAATCTTCATGTTCATCACCTCTGTGTTCTCGACTGAATGATTTACGAACTGTGCATGGACTTATGAATAATTTGTTTGTATCGCTCAGACTTCGTGATCGCTTTTTACACGAAATTGTTAGAATATATAGTAACTCAGTCCTGAACGATTCACTCATACAAGCATATATGAGGAATATTGTTGGATATGTCAGGTACTGCCACAAGCTGAGCACCAAAGAAAAACAGCCAGCAAAATTAAGTGGCAAAGGGCCATGAAAGTGTATTATTAAGTTATTTATATTTGTAACAGCCCACGGAATTTCATGCAGTAATATCATCATTGATATAAGGAAAATAAACCAAGTAGTTCTCCGGCTTTCTCTATTTAGTTTATCAAAAGACGAGTCAGAGAATCTGTTTTTAATTCTAAAATCTTTCCGTCTACTGTTGGCATTAAATGACGACCCACTTCTTTGTTTATTAGTTTTGCTACTATTCTTTGTACACTTAATGGTTTTGCCATCGTAAGTTTTCAAAGCAATTTGTTTATCTGTATGGCTATTAATTCCCGTAGTTAAACAATCATCATCTTCATCAACATATGAACAAGGAGAGTGTCTGTTACTTGTGTTATTGTATAGGAAGAATGCTCTATCTCTTGTGGCCTTACGTAATGTCAGCAATATAGAAATGTTACAGGAAACAAGCACGCAACAAGGTATTAACGAATCGATAATTGTCTCCATAAAAAGATGAACTTTCCTTGCTAAACATGGTTTGAATATGACATTATCTCTTTCTGAAATTCCACAGGCTATTTTTGTTATATTGCTCTTTTCGTCTTTTATAGCAACTGGAGAAAATTCGAATAGAAAAAACGAGGGTAAATGAACACAAAGCGCTAAAACTATAATTACAAACACATATATAAAGATATATCTATACGAATGAAAACCACGTGATTTAAATGGAGATTTAAGACATCGACATCGGATAAAAGCTAACAAAACAGTTAGCCACAGTGATATCATGTTGAACATATCCACACATATATCTGCGAAAATGTATGTCCAAAGACACGAGGAATAGCTGAAATAGTCTCTGAATCGCCCGGATGTGTAGTGGTAGATGTACGAAATACATGGGAATAAGATATTCAGTGTGTCCATACCAGCAATTAGCGTTAATATTAGAGATGTTTGTGAACGAACATGCGGTCGCGTGAGCACAATCACAATAAGGCAATTGATTGTTATAACAAAAACTGTAATAATAGGTATAACATATCCCCACAAATATGCGGCCTCTGATGTACAGTTGGGATACAGGTCCTGTAGCCGTATAGTCTTCAAGTATTCACACGAGTTGTTCATTTTAATGTTGTTTTCTAAAATATATAATATTGAATGATGGTCTTATAGAATTAAACTGTATTGAAATCAACTTTTAATGCCATTGGTTGTTGGTGTAATATATCTATCCAAATGTAGTTCGTTCTGATTTGATAATATTGTCCTGTAGCTGTCTCTAACTGTCTTTATATATGTAACTAAATCACTGCGTACACTCTCTATATATGTAACTAAAGCACTGCGTACACTCTCTATATATGTAACTAAAGCACTGCGTACACTGATATTATAGAGCCTGCGCCTAAAATCAACCATATCCACATTTATGACTTCAAAAATATTTAACTTCATAAGTAAATAACCTAATAATTAACGTTTTCTTTCTGAACTGATATTTTATACGTGCTTTAGAGGAACATATTGTCACACTAACCATCATTAATATCCATATAAGACACAACAGTTTTAAGTTATACTGTAAATCAAACGCTGTAAGGTCTAACACGGTCATCGGTCACCTATTACATCAGTAGAATAATTACATTGTTTTCATATGTAAATGATGACATGCCAGATGGTTGTATAAAGATGAGTATCTACCGCTGTTTCATTACTTCCAATACATTATAAACAGACGACTAACAAATATGCTAATTTTGTATACTCTTATCCGAGGCTCTTGTCAATAAAGTAATTTATCTTCTGTCGTTGTCTTAATGAAACCCACACACAAACTGTAGACTGCATTGTTTCAGAAACATGTATGCCTTTATTACATTGTTTGCCTTTTGTTCCTGTTAAAATAAATGATATGATGTTTATGAATACACTCTACCCTATATTAACGCTGAATATGCATACCTCCAGGTAATATTTTAAAACAATGATATTTGCGATGGGCAAGAAAGATTAAAATATTTTACCTGACTTAATTAACAGCAAATATAGATTCAGCTGC